TCTCGGAGATCAGCGCGAAAAACAATAAAAAAAAAACAAATATGATGCATTGCGAACCTCTTTCTTTTCGAAGTCTGTTAATAACTTTAATCAACCTTTTGAGGTAATGCATACGTAATAACACGCCGGAGTCCTCCTTTAGTTGTATATAAGTCTTGAGCTTCAAAATGAAGACTAAAAATGACACTACTACATATTTGTTTGGAAATCATTCATTTTCCAGTAATTTCTCCGTACTACATTTTCTTAAGGAAATCTGATAAAAAAGAATAATAAATAATAGGTTGAAGGTAATGTCAACCCAATTTCCCATATTTTAGGTAATATGGTTACATGAACATTGGCAATACTGGGCTTTAAACTAATCATTTTGTCCTTAGAATTAAAATTGATTTCGATTTCTAAAAACTAGAAAAAAGTGATTCAATTATTCATTTACCTATGAAACGTGATTCCTGGATTTTTTTTCTTTCGGTCACTACGGTTTTTACACCTTTTTACAAGCAAGATATCTTGTTTAGCTTATTTTTTATCTCCACGTAACGTGTCGGCTGCTTTGACGTTTGTACGCGTAGTGGCTGACTATTGTGTGAATGTGTGCGTGCCGGCTTGTACGTACAGCGACCTGGCCGACTCTGAGCGACACAGTTTATTGTTTACCGGGACTCTGTCCGCCTTTTTTTATAAGTCCATGATGATAACATAGATGCTGAGCGAAGTGTTAATGACGAAGTTGAGGGCACATCACAAATGTTAATAATGTTGGTTTCAGAAAGTGTAAACTCCTTACGTGCATAAAGTCTATCGAATGACGTCTGTTAAGCTAGCATGGCAAAGTGAGCAGAATCGTTTAAATAAAGTGCATCAATTAGTGCTTATTTAGTGCTAATTTAGTGCCAAAACCGGAAATTTAATGCTCTCATAGTTTAGCGAAAAATTAGAACACTGCCAGCTTTTAATAAAGCTAGCAGGTTATTCCCTGAAACGCCTATATTAACGCGGTATAGAACTAAAGCAATGCATAGGGAATTTAGTGCTTAATGAGTGCTGGCAGTATCTGATGAAAATTTTGGAAAATAAAAAATATTTTATTTTTTATCAATAGAAACTGCTAGTATGATAGTCTGAGCAAGTGACCGGTTCGAATACATCACTCTGGATCGAAGATCTATGATAATCAACGGTTAATAATTTAGTTCTCAATGAGTGCTGCCAGTATGTGATAAAAAAAACGAAATTTAAATTTTTTATCAATATAAACTGCTAGTATGACGGTCTGAGCAAGTGACAGGGTTGAATACATCACTCTGGATCGAAGATCTATGATAATCAACGGTTAATAATATAGTGCTCAATGAGTGCTGCCAGTATGTGATAAAAAATTAGGAAATTTTATTTTTTTTTAATTTTTATCAATATAAACTGCTAGTATGACAGTCTGAGCAAGTAACTGGGTTGAATACATCACTCTGGATCGAAGATCTATGATAATCAACGGTTAATAATTTAGTTCTCAATGAGTGCTACCAGTATGTGATAAAAAAAACGAAATTTTAATTTTTTAAAATTTTTATCAATATAAACTGCTAGTATGACAGTCTGAGCAAGTGACAGGGTTGAATACATCACTCTATACAGAGCACTCATTGAGCACTAAATTATTAACCGTTGATTATCATAGATCTTCGATCCACAGTGATGTATTCAACCCGGCCACTTGCTCAGACTGTCATACTAGCAGTTTATATTGATAAAAATTTAAAAAAAATTAAATTTCCTAATTTTTTATCAGATACTGGCAGCACTCATTGAGCACTAAATTATTAACCGTCGATTATCATAGATCTTCGATCCAGAGTGATGTATGCAACCCTGTCACTTGCTCAGACTGTCAAACTAGCAGTTTTTATTAATAAAAAATAAAGAAATCCGAATGTTTTATCACATACTGGCAGCACTCATTGAGCACTAAATTATTAACCGTTGATTATCATAGATCTTCGATCCAGAGTGATGTATTTAACCCAGTCACTTGCTCATACTGTCATACTAGCAGTTTATATTGATAAAGAATTAAAAAAAATCCTAATTTTTTATCACATACTGGCAGCACTCATTGAGCACTAAATTATTAACCGTTGATTATCATAGATCTTCGATCCAGAGTGATGTATTCAACCCGGCCACTTGCTCAGACTGTCATACTAGCAGTTTATATTGATAAAAAATTAAAATTTCGTAATTTTTTATCACATACTGGCAGCACTCATTGAGCATTAAATTATTAACCGTTGATTATCATACATATTCGATCCGGAGTGATGTATTCAACCCGGCCACTTGCTCAGACTGTCATACTAGCAGTTTATATTGATAAAAAATTAAAAAAAAAATCCTAATTTTTTATCACATACTGGCAGCACTCATTGAGCACTAAATTATTAACCGTTGACTATCATGAATCTTCGATCCAGAGTGATGTATTCAACCCTGTCACTTGCTAAGACTGTCATACTAGCAGTTCATATTGATAAAAAATTTAAAAAATTAAAATTTCGTTATTTTTTATCACATACTGGCAGCACTCATTGAGCACTAAATTATTAACCGTTGACTAACATAAATCTTCGATCCAGAGTGATGTATTCAACCCTGTCACTTGCTCAGACTGTCATACTAGCAGTTAATATTGATAAAAAAATTAAAAAAATAAAATTTCCTAATTTTTTATCACATACTGGCAGCACTCATTGAGCACTAAATTATTAACCGTTGATTATCATAGATCTTAGATCCAGAGTGATGTATTCAACCCTGTCACTTGCTCAGACTGTCATACTAGCAGTTTATATTGACAAAAAATTTACAAAAATTAAAATTTCGTTATTTTTTATCACATACTGACAGCACTCATTGAGCACTAAATTATTAACCGTTGATTATCATACATATTCGATCCGGAGTGATGTATTCAACCCGGTCACTTGCTCAGACTGTCAAACTAGCAGTTTATATTGATAAAAAAATAAAAAAATCCAAATGTTTTATCACATACTGGCAGCACTCAATGACCACTAAATTATTAACCGTTGACTGTCATAAATCTTCGATCCAGAGTGATGTATTCAACCCTGTCACTTGCTCAGACTGTCATACTAGCAGTTTATTTTGATAAAAATTAAAAAAAATGAAATTTCGTTATTTTTTATCACATACTGGCAGCACTCATTGAGCACTAAATTATTAACCGTTGACTATCATAAATCTTGGATCCAGAGTGATGTATTCAACCCGGTCACTTACTCAGACTGTCATACTAGCAGTTTATATTGATAAAAATTTTAAAAAAATAAATTTTCCTAATTTTTTATCACATACTGGCAGCACTCATTGAGCACTAAATTATTAACCGTTGATTATCATAGATCTTCGATCCAGAGTGATGTCTTCAACCCAGTCACTTGCTCAGACTGTCATACTAGCAGTTTATATTGATAAAAATTTAAAAAAAAATCCTAATTTTTTATCACATACTGGCAGCACTCATTGAGCACTAAATTATTAACCGTTGATTATCATAGATCTTCGATCCAGAGTGATGTATTCAATCCTGTCACTTGCTCAGACTGTCAAACTAGCAGTTTTTATTAATAAAAAATAAAGAAATCCGAATGTTTTATCACATACTGGCAGCACTCATTGAGCACTAAATTATTAACCGTTGATTATCATAGATCTTCGATCCAGAGTGATGTATTTAACCCAGTCACTTGCTCATACTGTCATACTAGCAGTTTTTATTGTTAAAAATTAAAAAAATATATAATTTCCTAATTTTTTATCACATACTGGCAGCACTTATTGAGCACTAAATTATTAACCGTTGATTATCATAGATCTTCGATCCAGAGTGATGTATTCAACCCAGTCACTTGCTCAGACTGCCATACTAGCAGTTTATATTGATAAAAAATTAAAAAAAAAATCCTAATTTTTTATCACATACTGGCAGCACTCATTGAGCACTAAATTATTAACCGTTGATTATCATAGATCTTCGATCCAGAGTGATGTATTCGAACCGGTCACTTGCTCAGACTGTCATACTAGCAGTTTTTATTGATAAAAAATAAAATATTTTTTATTTTCTAAAATTTTCATCAGATACTGCCAGCACTCATTAAGCACTGAATTCCCTATGCATTGCTTTAGTTCTATACCGCGTTAATATAGGCGTTTCAGGGAATACACTGCTAGCTTAATTAAAAGCTGGCAGTGTTCTAATTTTTCGCTAAACTATGAGAGCATTAAATTTCCGGTTTTGGCACTAAATTAGCACTAAATAAGCACTAATTGATGCACTTTATTTTAAACGATTCTGCTCACTTTGCCATGCTAGCTTAACAGACGTTATCGAATGTACCTTCCTTATTTTCTAACTGGTAGAGACCGGATGGATTAATGCTCGTAACAACACACATAACATTCCTGGGTGCTGCACGTCCTCTATCAACTTACAACCTGTCCGTCGTGATATGGTTAAAACAATGAATGCTCAGAACGCGTCATGGCTTTTCTTCATTGCCACAACGCGTTGAGATCGAATAGCATGTCAGCCACGACACGAATTTCGCTATTTGGTCTTTCTGTGATTGCCACAACGCGTCGTGCGCGTTTTCATTAGAGCCATAACACGAATTTCGCGATGTGGATGTTTTACTCTGACCACAATGCGTTGTGAGCTATTTTTCCGCTCACTGAGCGTTTTCGATCTTTGAGCGTAACATATATATATATATATATATAGTATGGATGTGTCACTTTTGCATATTTTTAATACATCCCTGTCCCGGATCATCAATTTCTCTTTATTTCCGCCTTAAAAAGGAAGAGTTTCTTATCATGATAGTGCACTGCACCTAATGGAATCATTCCACTCCCATCTCACTACGATAGAATTTTCTTTCTTATCACGGTTTAATGGTAAACAAACGATTCAGGGTGAATCCGACATAGAGCAGCTGGCAATCGTACTACAACACCTCGGTACTCCGACGCAGGAGTCATGGCCAGGCCACGAGCACCTGCCTGACTTCCACAAGATCACGTTCCCGGAGTCCGCGCCAACGCCGTGGCATGAACTGCTGCCGGCTGTCGAGCCTGACGCCATAAATTTGGTCATGTCGTTCATATCTTACAATGAGAGCAAGAGAATATCAGCTAAACAGGTAATTAACAGCACGCAGACCGCGTTCGAAATTCGGAAGTATAGTTTGATTCAAAAATTAATGGCGGCTGTGAAGTCGCGGCACAGTATTCAAAATAAAGGAGCTGCGCTCGGGATGACACTGAACTGAGGCCTAAGCACGACGTCCGTAAGGTATCGCATCGTCAAAGTCTCTATGAAAACTAAGCAGCGCCCCTATCGGTCGTAAGAACAAACTAGCTTTTTCCATACAAAAGTTAACGATTACGTTAGTTTACGGTGCTATCAAATACTCGTGCTTGGGGCTCTGAAACCTGCACATAGTGACGTTCGCTGCTAACTTCACTACCGCCATAGTTTGAATCGTACTATGAGGAAGAGAGTCAGTCTGAAAGACAGCATCGGTGTTAAAATTAACAGCTCCGTTGGCTCGGACATGGGAAATAATGTTAAATGAGAGAATGCCTAAAGAACAACTGCCTGTGACTTCCACAAGATCACATTCTCGAAGTCCGCACCAACGCCGTGGCATGAACTGCTTCTACCGGTTGTAGAACCTGCACCTACTTAAATTCGATCTCGATACGCGTCAAATTACAAGAAGTTTTGTATGAAAGGTTTAAATTCTCATTACGTTGTGACGCTGGTCAAAATATCCATACAAAACTTCTTGACATTTGACGCGTATCGAGATCGAATTCGTAACGTTTGCAAGTACGAAATATCATTGTCAAATGTGTACTGATCTTTAGTTCTCGTGCTTCCGATATGGTGCTGCTGTTCAAGTTTCCATACAAAATTTGACAATGCCAATTCGGACTCGCAAACTATTAGAATTCGATAATGGTTCATGCTAAGGGTACAGTTGGCAGACCGCGTTCGTAATGTGGGAGTAAGTGAGTTGGTCTGAAACAGTATCCGTGTTAAAATTAACAAAGATGTGCTCGTTGGTTCGGACTTGTGGAAAGAATGTCAATTAAGAGAATGACGCACGAACAACTGCTCGACTTTCCCAAGATCACGTTCCTGCCCGCCTAGCATGAGTAAGTACAGTTAGTACTATGAAGTTTCACAGTTGGATGCGATAAAAAACGTGATATAACGTAAATTGAGGTGCTCATGCTACGGGGACTGGAATCGGTGCCGTGTCATGAACTGATAAGCTGTCGAACCGGACGCCATACACTTGGTCAAGTCGTTCGTATCTTATAATGAGAGATATAATAGTAGAGTTAGATTGGTATAGCTAGCTACATTTAATTAAAATTTAACAATTTTAAAAATATTCAAACTAATTGTTACTTATTGTTAATAGGTATACGAAGACAAGGTAAAGAAATTGTTTTATTTGCAGGCCTTGAAACATCCATGGTTTATCAACAGACCTCTGCCGGCCGGTTTAGAGGATATGCCGAAGCCAGTAGCTACGAAATCTAAGTGAATTGTTAAAAAAAAGTAACAAAGTTATAATAAAATGCATTTTATTTGTTTAAAATTACTATAGTATGGCTAATTAGATTATAAAATAGTAATTACAGTAAGGAAATTGTACTCTCTTATTTTATGTACACTTTGAGCCAAACAAGGACTAAACTCTGGATAAAACGTAGTCTAATTCTACTTACCTTATTAGTAACAATGGTATTTTTGACTAACTTTTAATATCAGCTCCAACTCATTAGAAATAATATGGAAGCATTACTCTCAGCCGCTAATACATGGGTCCAAACTCATACAACTAAACTATCATACTTACGCGACACGCACACAGGCAAACCAAAAACATTGACAAATCAGATATCTGCAAATGAATCCGGCTATGCATTCATTGGATAAGATAATGTAAAACGGAAATACTAGTCAATCCCTGATCGGCGTGTTGATCGCAGTTTTCGCCCCGCCCACTTGATCGCAGTTTTGCGTGGAATCGCTTTTTAGCGCAGTCCGTATTCCATATTATTTCTAATTCGTTGATCAGCTCATATATAAAATACCACTGAACCATTAAAGGTATAGCATAATTTAGACTTCGTGGTTTGTATGGAACTACACGGATAGCTCCATACGAAAACCAGACCTCATTTCTCTACGTCCAAGAGGAAGTGACGTGAATATATAATACAAAACTCAAACAATTGACCATAATAGGAAATAACTATATATATAAAATTAGTACAATCAGCATGAAAAATTTTATACTTAGGATCAACACGAATTTTATGAGACAATTGCGTCATATTTAAATTATTCTACTATACATTTACCAACTAATTTCATCATTGACAAAGCTAATCATCATTTACTTAAATAAAAACTAATACAATTTTACAAACGTAACACTATTTATACATTAACCCTTTGACATGATTTACCTATCCGCACATTTTTTTGGAATAGCTACATTGGACCACCTACAATTAATATAAATAAAATCTACTATGATATAGAAATGCAGACCGAACTAATAATTAAAAAATTAAGAGATCAAATGATAAACATCCCAACTTCATAAAACAATATATATGAAGAAAACAAAAATAAGCTAAACATAGTATGGGGCAATTATGTGAAAGTAGCCTTCTACTATAATACTTAATTTCCTATTTTAAATAAGCAGGTATAGTGCAATTCAAACTTAATGGCGGTTGTGAAGTTAGCAACGAGCGTGAAACCTCGCAAGAACAAAGAACATGGTTCAAATTTGTAAGGAGGGTGGTATTCAGTCTCCGGCAGAATCCAAATTTTTATGACATGTAGTGAACTTAATTGTAAATCGTGTGACAAAAAACTAAAATTTGTTTTATTTCCTTTTTATTTAATTATGTATGTTATACTACATATTATATTCAATAGGTATCTAAAGCACTGATCATCTTTCATTACATTATTAGGTGATTAGTGGGTATTTTATTTCAAGAAGAAACATTCATAAATTGGTATAATAAGTTCACCACGATTTCAGGAATATCGATGCATGATTGGACTGATTGACATTTGCCATAGTGACTGAGTTGACGTTTTATGCTGCCACACACTAAAAATATGACGTTACTTAGGACAGGGTGGCCAGCATCCTTACAAACTTGTTACAATTTTTAAACACGATTTAATATTAATCGACGATAAATAAAAATAAAGGTATCTTTACATGCTATAAATATATAAAACAAGCTTTCAAATGATATTTATTTCGTCGCTTCCGGAAAACGACTACCACTATTGACCCGTCTCTTTCGGTCACTGCGCTGCACTTTCGTAACTTCACAGAGTCATTAAATTTCGAAACGCACTTTACTCTGAAAGCAGGATCTCAACAGTCCTTATTCAACAATAGGGAATATGCATAATATTTTTTTTATATTTTTGTTACATAGTTGAGGAGCTACTTTTTTTTACAGTCCGGAGGCTTTGGGCCCTTTGCATTTGAATCTCAAATAATTTTCATTCAAAACCGCCTAAAAAAGTGTTAAAATTACTAAATTTATAAATTAAAAACCATGCCAAAAGCCTCATTCAGTTTTATACAGGTCCTGTAAAATTTCATCATCATCATCTATTAATGTGCCCCCACTGCTGGGGCACAGGCCTTCCCTATGGATGGAATAGGGAGATTGGGCCATAACCCACCACGCGGGCCCAGTGTGGATTGGCGGGTGCTGACGACTGCAAATGCAACCGGGACCAACGGCTTAACGTGCCTTCCGAAGCACGGAGGAACTCGAGATAGTAAATTTTTGGTCACCCATCCAAAGACCGACCACTGCGAAGGTTGTTTAAATTTAACGATCGCAGTCGAACGCGCTAACCACTTGCGCCATCGAGCTCCTCCAAAATTTAATTATATGTAATTATACCGTTTTGTTCGCCAGCTCCTCAATTTATATTCCCTTTTTATTGTATAAAAATATTTAAACAAATGTTACTAATAGCCACTTTGCATGGGCATTTTAAACGCTCGCTATTTTGGAACTCGATGTGACGTCACAGTTCATAGCAACCTAGCAACAAAATAAACAAGTCCACAGCGCAAAGTGAGGTTAGGAAATAAAGTGCGCGCGCACTACACACTCGCACTAGGTCTCGTTGACTTTGACATATTCTGAGAACATGGCGCTTGATTGTTGATAAAATATGTTATGTATTTCTATATGACAACTGCTCCGTCGCGTTTCAGATATTTGAATTTGCCACAAGTTTTTCGTACATTTTTATAATGAATTACTTGCTCAAAAAGGAATTTTATTGGAAAATATTGATGGAATGGACAATTCAAAAGTAATAGTTTATTTAACAAAATAAAATAGTCTTATTTGATTTACATGCATATTCCGTGTTGTGTGTAAACCGATATGTAAATGGATAATCATTACTTTCAGCTAATAATATCCCCTCAGTATAGGACATGAGATTACCTTCAACTTAAGGGTTTTGACACCAACATACGCACGCAACATACTACGGAATTGTGGGTGTTAATGAATTCTGACTCGGCCGGAACCATAGAGCAACACAGCCGACGCGGCTAGGAGGGGAGTAGCCATAATGATATAATACTACTGAAATCATTCTGCCACTTTTTGCGGGGGGAGAAATATGTACACAAATGCAGTCCAATATACTTTCGCAAAAACAAAATTGTAATTACGACACTCAAACATAAAAAAAGACAACGCGAAATTTAACACCATCCTTTTGTAAGTTTAATAACCAAGATATGTTTTACAGCAAATTACATAACATTTTGGCATTTTTGATCTGTAACGTACATTCGCGGGTCTTGACTCAGTCTAGTGAAATATCCGAGCGGAACTTAGTTTTGCTCGTGAGCTGGCCCAACAGCGGAGGAAAATCGACATAGGGGAACGCTGTGAACGCCGACTCCCCTCCTGTCCCTGTAGCATGAGCTCCACAATTTACATTATATCACGTTTTTATCGTGTTAAACTGTCAAACTCCATAGTAATTTGACAATTGAGCGTGATAAAAACGCGTTATATAACCATATCGCGGTACTCATGCTAGGGGGGCTGGCCAAGTCGGCCGCGTTGCTCTATGGCCGGAACCGACAACTTGGCGTAAATACTTTTTTCAAAAAGAAGGAACTCTAACTTATGATCGCGCATTCAATGGGCTGAAACTTTAGTAATACATCAACATGACATAAACTTTCCTACTATATACTTAATGTACGCCTTCAAAAATTTTTATTACTACTGGGGGAGCGACAATTGATGAAAACACATAAGAAATAAGTATTTTCCCTGTTGTCGCTACATGGATGTCATCTCTATGCTCATAAAGCTTATAAATTAAGTCAGGAATAGCTCACTGAGCACAGCCATTGTAGTACTCAATGCCCTAGTTATAAATTCAGTAAGAACTCCGACGCCATTTTGAGAAAATGGAGATTAAATTTTTAAATTTATAGACCATTTTCTCAAAATCGTGTCCGGAGCTCATACTGCATTCCTCACTAGGATGGCAGAATTATTCTTGAAAATGGGTTTCACACTAATATTATTTTCCGTATATCTTCTACAAGTGAGACAAATACATGCAATATTCTCTATATAATCGGCGGGAAATATGAAACTATAATCACGTGTTTCCCACTTCCCACAATATGTAATTATTTGTTATAATAACAAAACACTAGTTTTAGAAAACATGTAGTACATGAAAATTGCTCAAAACATAGATCGTTCCAATTTGAGCCCAAACAACATCGAAATTGCATATTTTTTGAGAAAAAATAGACAAGATGAGTGATCGTGACTATTACTAATACGTGAAGCCTTTTTAAAGACACAGAATTGGTAACAATACCGTGCCTTATTACATTAGAAAAAACAGTCAATCAACGCTACAAAAATCTTCAATACCCCCGACTTTGCTATCTAAGCCTCTACCGTAATACAAAACAAAATGTCGGCAACGCGTGCAAACGTCTTGAGCAAAACCAGAGACAAATAAACTTGCGCAGTTTCGCGTTTCTGATGGAAAATTGCTACTGCGCAGGCTTCCTTGTCTATGGTCGTCGCTCAAGAAGTTTGTCGGGATGTATACTTACCTCTATGAAGTTGTATTGCAGTAGTCGCTAGGAGACTGTAGAAAAGTCGTCAGGCATCAAAGATTTGCGTAACGTTGCGTACGAAGAACCTTACAGTTCACAAGAAAATTAATTAATTTTATATCGATTGAACATTCATTAATATATGATTAGCTAAATTACTTACTATTGGTGACTTTGCAACTCATGTTTTTATCTGTGTAGACAATATTTCTACAACGAAATCGATGGACTCAATTCTTTCACAAATTAAGTCCTTTTTTGTTTTGCAGAAAATGTGTAATAAATAACTACGAAACCAACAAAAATACACGTTCTCAGTTGAGGCTTCTTTATTATTGTAGTAAAAATGTAAGTGTCAGACAGTTCATTTACTAACCTGAGAAAGTACAATGAAGCCTTTAATTTTGTAGATATTTGGTGATATAAGAAATATCACCAAATATGAATTCTTTAAAGAATTATGAGTTATTTTACCCTTTCTAGATTAACTTGACTTTTGTTATGAATTTCCTAAAAGACAACAATGAAAGTATTGATAAAAGAGCCATTAAACTTTATAACTATTGTGAGAATTGAGCCCATTCATTATGAGAAATTATTTTAAAGATATATCTAAATATATTTGTGCAACCGACCCTAAATTATATTATATTACAACTGCGCCAATACCATTTGGTAAACTTATGTCTAAAAAATCAACTTCATACTAATAAACAATGCATAATAAATTATTTATGTAGGGAATTATTTTTACTCTGTCTTAAAACAACAAAGCGTCAATTCAGTAGCTGTAAATTCTTAATACAAGAATTTTACACAAACCCTTTTTTCAATTACAACTAAAGATTTTCCTAAGACCATCTTTTAAATTTATTCTGTCCCACTACTGTACACCTTTCTGAATAGCTAAATTGATAAACGAAATGAATACGATAATATAGACAACATTTCCAAGATAAGTAATAGGTATTGTCTACTATATACTACTTTATTTTCCGGTAATAACTTCCATAGCAAATTATAGCATTCTTTTTTTTAAATTGGCATGACATCCCTATCGAGAAGAAACAAGACCAATCCCCTTAGCATGAGTACTACAATTTACATTACAACACGATCTTATTGCATCTAACTTTAAAACTCCATAGTAATTTGACAATTGAGCGTGATAAAACAAGCTATATATCATATCGCGGTGCTCATAGGGGAGCAAGACTACAAGAACAAGAAGTAAATACACAAGTTTCGAAATTACGAAATTATGAATATTTTACTATTCAGAAAATAAATAGGTAACCGTTAATCTTGTTTTCCTAATAAGTGATTAAAGGATAGGGTTTCCAGTATATCGTGCAAATGTGGGATAAAAATATGATAATATTAATTCTCCGTTCATCTCCCTGGTCGTAGTAATTAACATAACATTATATTATGAATTTGTAATTACGACCAGAAATAAAAAATCTAGAGCGCAATCGCGCAAAATGACAATGATAAGACCTTTGTCAAATAAATGTGTACCACATAGGTCATAATTACAGTGAGACCAAGACCTAGCACTAAGATGACATTAGCAGGTGGGAGCTACTATTGGTGAATATGTATGAAATGAGAATTACTAAATACGTAAATAATCTTGGTCTAAGATCCGAACCTACATCGACCTTCACCGAGCTGATAATGGAATGAAAAATATTTTATCATGAATTTAGTATATTAGAAAATATACTAAAAATGGGTTGCCTAAAAAAGTCCTGGACAGATCATTTTTAATTAATTTAAAAAAACTATATTTTTAATTAAATGCTGCAACATCAAGATAATAAGAAAATGATGTCCTAAATTCAGCATAAAACATATAAAATGTGCAGCTGTTGGGATGTCTAATATTTACCAGGGCGAACCAGTGGGTTGCCAGGTATAAACAGGTATGTCGATACCAGTTACTTTACCCAACGACTGTACATTCTATACGTTTTATAATTTAAGGCAGGACAACATTTTCTTATTATCTTGATGTTGCAACATATTTTCTTAAATCATTTTTTAAAAAATAATTAAAAATAGTCTGTCCAGGATTTTTTTTGGCAACTAGATTTTAATATATTTTGCAATATACTAAAGTCATGATAAAATATGTTTCATTTTATTATCAGCTCGGTGAAGGTCGATGTAGGTTCGGATCTCCTACTATCTGCTCACTAAAGTTCTCACGTTATAATTAATAATAACTTGGAAAGAGTAATAGGAAAATTCTTATTTACACATTCCTCTATAAATAAAAGGCTTGTTTATAACTTTTTAAAATTAGTTCCCATTTCGGGAACGCGCCTCAAGATCTTGGTTGAACCGTAGCCATAATTTATGGTCATAACATTCGACAGAGTTTTTTTCGCAGCTTTTCAGCGTTATGTGGCACTTATTCAGCGTTATTCCTTTTATACATATATTGTGCATATTATATCATCTGGAATTGGCAGATTGGCAATTTTAACATAAAGTAAAAAGTTCATTAACATTTTTTTTTTACAAACCAGATAAGTTGCGATCGCATTCAAAGCGTAAGGTTGGCAATTAATCGGCAACGAACTTCAAATTAGTATCAATCAAAAATCTATCACATTTTCCAGAACCGACGAATTTTTCAATGACTGACTTAAATAGCTTTAAGATTTACAAAAGATTGAAAAGAAATTGCGACTTTGAGGTAACATACTGGGAGTTGTTGACTTTATATTTACAATTAATTAGCACACTTTTTAGACGACAGATGTAAAGCGCGATTTTATTTATGTTTGTACATAATTGTTGGCCCTCTATAGACTTTGTAATCAATAGTTAAAAAAATATATGACCTAAAACACTGTTACAAGATTGATTTCATATTTTTCAATTGGGAAGAAAACTGCCAATTTATCCCGCTTTAATTTTTGGCATTTTTTAATGGCAAAGTTTAATACATTTTGAATCATTAGAGCAAAAAGTTGCTTTCGGAGCGTATATTAAGAACAGAGCCTTTAAGTGACAGGTTGCTTGTCATGGGCCAAACGGATAAAGCACCATCTGTAATGAACTTTGCGTTTTCTTCCCCATTGACGACACTGTATGAAATAAAACTGGGAGAGAAAATAAGCAGTCGTTGCCAAGTTTCGTGCCGGTTCTTCTCAGCACAAGGTCAGCAAAGATGGCGTAGCTTTCGACTGTCATATGTGCTTGTGAAAGCGTAAACTGAATAAATACTTTGATTTAAATAAAATCGCGCTTTATTACCGTTAAAAAAGTGTTATTGGTATGTGTTAAAACATTAAAAAATAAATACAATGTATTTTTGCTAGATAAATAGATAGTGATTGTAAGACTAGTTACGTATCCACCCGGCTGCGTGCAAGTACTGTCGTACAGCTATATCGAGGTCCGCGTCTGGTGCCGGGGCGCGTCTCAACAACACGCCCTTCATAGTCACGTACTGAGCCGGAGGGAGACTTAACGACGTGCAGAGCTATAACAATGATTTATCATAAAGGTACAAGTCCGAACTGACCCGCAGACCACAGGCCGCAGCTGCAGACTGCAGGCGACACTACTAGTTTCCAGTGATGTAGCGAATGTCATTTTTTAACATTCGCGAATGCGAATGCGGATGCGAATATCTGGTACCGACATTCGCGAATGCGAATATTTAGTTTTGGTTCAAAATTGGCGCCAATTGTCTATAGCATGGTGGCAGTCTCGTTCGAATTGCCGTCATTCCGCTCGCGCCGGTCTTTGCGTAAACAAAACAAGTGAATTTTGAGGTTAGAGTTTGAATAGAGAGAGAGTGATTTATTTACATGAGTAAATCAAAGGATAGTGAAATATGGACTTTGTTTTAGTTTGTTCACATTGCATTATTTATTTTGTTTTTTAATTTCTATTAAAAGTTTAAATGTTAAAGCTTCATTGCCCAAAGTAAAGAAAATAAATAAATAATGCCAAATGCTAAAGTCAAGACTAATAATGTGATTACGAGGTTAAGTTCATTTTTCTTGGATTAAAAAACCAGAAATGAATGGATTTTGATTTTATGAACATACTATTATCTTCAATTTATTTTTCTTATCGAAAAAACCAACTCGATACATTTCGTGCCAAACACTCCAAGAAACAATAGAATGCGTCACACCGACATTCTAATGTAAAAAAAGGAAGATTAAGATTTGTATTTATGTATACTACTGGAGGACTTATCATTGTCATGATAAATTATAAAAAAAGAACATAAATTTTGATGAAATTAACGCCGAATGTCCCATTAGTAGAACATCTGGAAAACGTATTTTTAGACATCATTTTTTTTTCATTTTAATCAAAATTGGATACATTTTATACCTCCGGGGGTTAGGAAGCTAGAATTCGAGTGCTAAAAACGCGTATAAAGTTTAAAAAAATCCCAATGAATGTTAGTTCAACTAAACTAAATAAATAAATATTTCTGACACTCACACCAATTAGCCTAGCCCCAAAGTAAGCACTGTAAGGCTTGTGTTATGGAATGCTAGGGTAACGGATAGAATACATATACAGTACATATATAAGTATATTTATATAGAAATACATATTAAACATCCATGACTGGAGTACAAATGCTCGTATTCATCACACAAACATCTGCCCCCACCGGGATTCGAACCCGGGATCTCTCGAGTCGCCGACACCATGAAACCCGGCGTACAAACCACTCGACCGCGGAGGTCGTCAAACTGTTGTGACGTTACATAAATATGTGGCATCGTCGCACTCATTTCCGTAATTTCTAGATGGCAAATTTCTATTCCGCACTTAGATACCAGAAGAATAAAAAAGCACGCCACTTTAATAGCACTAAAATATAAATAACATGTATCTAAATATATCAGATTCTGGATTCGTGCGTAAATTATCAACATCAGCCAATTAATATTCCCACTGCTGGGGCACAGGCCTTTCAAGCTAAAAATATAGTTTTTAGAATTTTTGTCTGTTTGTCTGTATGTATATCCGGGATGAGCTCAAAAAGTACTACAAGGATTTACTTCAAATTTGGCACAAATTATTAAGAAGTCGGGTCAACATTATAGGCTACATATTATCACACTATCACCTACGGGGAACGAGCAGTGAACCTTTATTTCTAACTAACTCCACGCGTACGAAGCCGCGGGCGGCCACTAGTAGTACATATTAACAAACATATAGTCACCTGTATCTCATTATTGGTCAGCAGATGCTTCGAGCAGACGCCGTTGCATGAGCTCTTTTTGGAGCATCCACATGCGGTACTTCCGTCCCGTATGCACTTTGGGCTGGTGGAACTTGAGCCGTTTTCGCCGTCTCTGTCACATAGAAAATAAAACATTATTGTAACTAGCGGACCCGGGTTTTATTTCGTTTTTACACCCACCCCCAGTTTAGTTTATTTTATTTTCACACATACACAGCCTAGCTCCAAAGTAAGCCCTGTAATGCTTATGTTATGGGATGCTAAGGCAACGGATAGAATACATAATATATAAGTATATTTTACATAGAAATATACAAACATCCATGAATAAAGTACAAATGCTCGTATTCGTCATACTAACATTTGCCCTACCTAGATTCGAACCCAAGAGTTGGTGACACCTTGAAACCCGGCGTATATAGCACTCGGCCACGGAGGTTGTCAAAAATTATTATGATATTATAAATAACATCTTCGAACATGACTGTAGTGCTACCTACTAGGTCCAATTGTGAATGTAAACTACTCGAAAGCATATTACTGGATTTCTACAAAAAATCCCCTTATTGAGTTTTTATATTAAATTACATTAAAATCAATCCAATCGTTTAGAACTTCAGGCAAAGTCCTAGAACTTGTCTACAATGCCATCAACCAGGTCAAGTTGGAAGCTAAGCAGTCCAGGAACCAATGTTGGGCGTAATTCATTACTTTTGTAATTAAATTACTAATTATATGAATAGTAATTGAATTACTTTAATTGAAATTACATGTATTTGAAATTACTGTAATTCAATCACTTACGTCCGAAGTAATTTAAATTACATTAGTTTGTATTTCAAATTACTCAATTACTTTTTAAGGGTAACCTAATAAACTACTAAAATTGAGCGGTTATAAGCCCGTACGCAGCACAACAAGCACAACACAAACAAAGTTTTAGTGTATAATTTGCCATGAATTTATGAGTATGTAAGTGTGTGCCTCGTTACCAGTACCTACACAGCTACCTATCCCTTTTCTAGTCTCTCGGCGGCGTGCACCTTTATTTCGATTGATTGTTCTCATATGCTACAATGATTAACTTACCAAAATCTTACAAAACTTTCTGATTAAATGTTCGAACAAAGAGTAGTATTAATGTCTAATTTAAAATAAATTAAACATTTATTGTCTTAATTTTAAAAGAAGTGGTTATAATTACACAATTTATCTGATCTATTTCGTAAATAAACATTTGATAAATCATAATATAATAGTTTTATTTAAAATACTACCTCGTCTTTAAAAGAGATTATACAGGGTGAAATTGAATGTTTCTATGAAACTTCGTGAGATTGTTAGGTTACGTGTATAGAGTATGCCTGATTTTTTTCGGATTTTTTGAAGTATATTTTTTTCATGTATTTATTTATAATTTGTGTATTTTATGTCCTTTCCTCCTTTTGAGTAGTTATTCATTTTAAACAAACAAACTTACATATCCAATGAAAAACAACTAATAAATAAGCACTTCTAAAAAACGTCTCCTTTGATTCCACACAATACTATAAAATCGTCTTAGATGCCTTTATTGAAATTGAAATAATAAGCACAAATGTCATCTACTCTTAAGCAGAGAAAAACTTTAAAAGTTAATAATAATTTTGTCACGATTGGAAATAGGCAAATGTTAAACAAAAAGAAATACTTATTGCAGTTCAATACTTGGGTCAGAATGAAATTTATAACCAGGTATTCAAAAGTACTTACGAGACCGGCGATGTAGGTAGGTACAACGAGGAACGAGGAACATATTCATTTTTTTGCACTAGAACTTTTTATCAATTCAATCACACTGGTAGTACACAATTAGTTGTTTCTAATCAAAAAGTATTTACACTAGCAATAAAAAGAGACTTAAATTATTATCTGCAAAATTGTTGCTCTAAACCACCATTTTGCTGCAAACAAAGGTAGGCACGTTTGCGGACGTGTCTTTTCACCTTTTTTAAATGATAGGGACACTACTCACTGCACAAAATGCAACTTCTATGGTTTGGGGACTCATTCGTAAACCAAACCTACTTCGTCACACTCGCGATAGCAGTACACCCATCTCTAAATATTCTTGGTTCGTATACCGAGGCATAATGAAATTATCACAGTGTATGTCACTAAGTCAAAAGATGCGCACGCCCACGCACGATTGATATACTTGCGATTGCGCTTTGCATGCAATCAAAGCAAACCACCGCGTGCGGGGAAGAGGGGAGGTGGGCGGAATTCACATTATCAAAGACGCCGCAAGCGGCGCTAACGCTGCATGTTTCTTGACAGCGTGCGGCGCGCCACCCGCCCGTGCTTGCCGCAAAACAACATATTATTATGTGTGTGTGTGTGTGTGTGTGTGTGTGTGTGTGTGTGTGTGTGTGTGTGACTGTGGCTGTAATTAAATGTGTTCGGAATTTCATGACGTGGGGAAATCAGACACGAAGAGTTCCTTCCTTCACTAAGCTCGTAAGTTATACGGATTTGCTCTGTATGATTTTTCCCAATTTTAAATAAGCCGTTTGTGCTTAAGTTTTAATTAAACGAGGCAACTAACATTAACAATAAAAAAGAAGTTCTTACACTAACAGACAGGCTTTACCGATTTAAAATCGTGACAGTTATAATAACTTTATAGGATTTTTAATTGCTCTAACAGAAGATTTATTTTATTGATTAATTACCTGTGCTTTATGAAATAATATTCAAAGGTATTGTGTATCAGTGAATAAATAATTATAATATAGCATCTAAGACTATTTTATTGTAATGTTTTTAAATAGTGTGGAATCAAAGCGGAGAGTAGGTAAGCGCCGAGTCATCTGTGCGTGTAGTAGGTACCTACACAGGCGGCCGCCGGTCGTCACCCCGGCGGCCGGCGCTGATCTCGACTGGAGGCATTCATTAAGTTTCCGTTTTTTTAGGAGTGCTTATTTTAAGTTGCTTTATAACTTCTATGTAGACGTGTTTAAAATAAATAATTACTCATAAGGAAGAAATGACAAAAAATAACCAAATAAAAAAATAAAAACGAAAAAAAATATTTTAAAAGATCCGAAAAAAATCAGGCATCCTCTATACACGTAACCCAACAATCTCACGAAGTTTCATAGAAACATTCAATTTCACCCTATATAAAAGTAATTGAGTAATTGCTATTAACAATTACAATTTGTAATTGAAATTGTTAATTTGAAATTAATTACATTTTGCCCAACACTACCAGGAACACATTCGAAAGCATACATAGTTTGAATGAAAATCGATCCAGTCATTTAGAACTTCAGGCATAATCTTAGAACCCGTCTAAGACGCCACCAACCGGATCCAGATCCAGACTCGAAAGCATAAATAAAAATTTTATTAAATTCAACCCAGTTGAAGACCTCCGTGGCCCAGTGGTTAGTACGACGGGTTTCGTGGTGTCGCCGACTCGAGAGGTCCCGGCTTCGAATCCCGGTGAGGCCAGATGTTTGTGATGAATACGAGCATTTGTACTCCAGTCAAGGATGTTTAATATGTATTTGCCTCTCCCCCCTGGATCACGAAAGTGAATAGTCGTCAATCCTGCGTTAGTTTAAATTCATAATTTTATTTAAAAATAATAAAATTAAGTGAGTAAATTGTGAATAAATATTCCGTTATGTACCAGGCGCGCATAACGTAAGAAGCAGTGAGTGACCGGCGTCGATGAAAGAGACATAGATAGTGACACCAATCTTCGTTACGGTACGTCGGTACGTCCTCTACTCTACGAGCGCCGACACGGCTACGACGCTGCTACGCCTGCTACGGCAACTACGCTTCGTAGCATACGACTGCACAGAGTATTCCCAGTACGTACATAGATCGTATCGAACTTTGGAGCGGTGCACGAGCGGCAGAAAAGCCGAGTTAATTCCGACGGGTTCCACACTAGGTATTTGAAATAATTGCGTTTTTTTCTCGTTTCTTCTTTTTTTAACTTTTTGCGCTATAACTCTTAAAATGCCAAATCTGGCGCGCTCTCCACCGCTGAATAAATGTCTAAGTATGACAGATTTGGATACTGAAAAAGTTGGAGATAAACCAACTTGTTCTACAGGCGAAAGCGTGCATAACATCCAACGTGAAAAAAAGCGGCGCCGAGTTACTGATGATGTAGTAAGCCCAAAAAGTTCTGAACCATTAGACATACGAACCATCATTCGCGAGGAACTAAGTGAAATATTAAAAACCCTGCAAATTCAGCAAAATTTGCGTATGGATGCAATCGAAAAACACATTTCAGAAATTAAAATCCAAAACGATACGAACCTCAAGAAAAATCTCGATATTGAGAAGTCGATAGAATTTGTTGCTGCCAAAATGGAGGAAGTTCAACACACTATAAACTGTCTGGAGAAGGACCGCAATGATATCTCTGCACAGATAACAACAATTGAAACGAAATGCGATACGTTGGATAGACTGGCACGAAAGACTAGTATACAAATAAGAAATGTTCCAAGACAAAAAGCTGAATCTATAGAAACAAAAACTATTCGAAATGATAAACAAATTATCAACCTCCCTGGGAATCAATATGGGACCTTCGGACGTTCGTGACATCTATCGTTTGCCGAGTAAACCAGATCAAGTGAACACAACTATAGTAGCTGAGTTTTCGTCTACACTTACAAGGAGTTACTTTTTGAGTGCTGCTAAAGACTTTAAGTCCTCTTCAATAAAATTCAAGACTGAGCAACTTAATTCAACACACCTAGGCATAGAAGCACCAAATTCGGAAATATACCTATCAGAGCACCTAACCCCAATCTGTTCTCGCTTGTTCTACCTCGCCCGAGAGTTCCTAAAACTATGGGATATGATTATTGTTGGACCTCAAACGGGCTAGTGTATCTACGGAAAAAACAGGGAGAACCCTACATATTGATTAAAAACGAAGCCCAATTACAGATTCTAGGAAATAAGTGACTAGTTAAGATCTTTTACTATATTAAAATTATATTAACCTATATCAATGCCATACAGGAAACTCCCAGGCCTATTGTAAGATCTGATCGTCAAAAAATAAATTGGCATTTTAACTTTATATTATTTAAACACACAATATTCTTTCGTAAATATCAGCAGTCACCGCCAATTTCACAATACTGTCCAAAATCGATATCAATTACATATAAACTTCAATGCCTCTAAAATAAACTTATTGCTCAAATTACTACATACTTGAAATTATTACTCTTGAACATTATTTGGTACCTGCATTTCACTGAGACTAAACTCACAATAATAACTAAATATGGATAACGAAAATCTTTTTGAAGAAATCGAAAAATCATGTACTCCTGATTGTAAACTCATTGAAAATCCCAGCGGCGACCTTGTAAACCAGTTAATAAACAATAAAAAACAATTCAACATTATGTCTTTTAACATAAGAAGTGTTAACAAAAATCTTGACAACTTTTTAATATTCTTAACAAAGTTAAAAACTAAAATACATATTATTGTTTTATCTGAGTGCTGGTGTGATGAAAGTTCGGTCCCCCCATTAATTGACGGTTTCACTATGCATTTTAGTAAAAAAAGCTTTAATCAGAATGACGGCGTAATTATGTACATCAATGATTCTATAGTGGCCACTGTTCAAGAAATTGAACTGAACAAAGCTAACTGTCTGGCTGCTAAGATTGATAATACTACCATATTTGGAATCTACCGACCTGGCTGTTTTAAAAACCCAACTAGTTTTCTTGACTCACTTGATTCTCTTCTAACCATCACGAGATCTCGAAACATCATCATAACTGGAGACATAAATATCGATACCTTAAACAGCAATAGTCATAATGTAAGAGAATACCTAGAAATTTTAGGATCCCATGGTTTGCAAAATTCCATAGATATACCTACGCATGGAAAAACCTGCCTCGACCACATTATGTGTAAACTAGTGGGATCTTTTCAAAGCTACGTGCTTACGTCAGATATCACGGATCATTTTGCAGTGTTGTTATCTGTTTCATCCAGTCTTGCGCAAAATTCAGAAACTGTTACCTCATTTACTAGATCAAGAATTAACTACCAAACTTTGAAATCGGCAAAAGAAACAATAGACTGGAATCCTTTTCTAACAATTAACAATCCAGACTTAGCCGCTCAGACACTAATCGAATCATTACAAGAACTAATAGCCATAAACTCTGAAAAAGTTACTTTCACTAAAAAGAAACCCTCACTCGTTAGTTAAAAAGAATCCAGATGATATGGAATTAAAATCATTTTATATAAAATATCGCAATATTTGCAACAAGACAGTAAAATATTTAAAAAATAGTTACTACATGAAAAAGTTTAGTGAAAATTATAAAAATAATAAACGTACTTGGGAAACCGTAAAAGAATTATGTAACATTAGAACTAAGCAGACTCCAGCAGCTGCATTACTAACTCTGCTACCGTCGCCAAAGAGCTCTCTTGAAGTAGTAAATAAATGTTTTACATCCATTGGCGAACAACTTGCAGCAGACATATTAAATAAACATAACATGGATGAGCCTAATTTGTTAGAGAATACACCTTCATCGGGGAATGTGCATTCGTTCTATATGTATCCGACAGATTATATTGAAATTGATAAAATAATTCTTAGCCTCAAATCTAATAGTGCTCCAGGAATAGACTCCATCCCTACCGTTATCATTAAAAGTTCCCACAAAATTTTATGCTCAATGATAGCCCACCTTTGCAACTTAAGTATCTCCACTGGAACATTTCCAGCAATTTTCAAACAGGCTGTGGTTGTCCCTGTCTATAAGGGTGGTGGTGTGGAGACTGTCGAATTATAGGCCTATTTCTTTACTTAGCACAATCAGTAAAATTATAGAAAAAGTAGTAAATATTCGTCTTACTAAGTTCTTAGAGAGTAAGCAATTGCTATCTGATAACCAATATGGATTTCGCACAGGAAGAAATACTGAAGATGCAGTGGCTAAACTCTCAGAAGAGGTTACCAAGGCTTTGGACAGCGGTGAAAGATGCCTAGCTATATTTCTGGACCTTAAAAAAGCTTTCGACACTGTTTCTATTCCACTACTCTTACTTAAACTAGAACAGCTTGGTATACGGGGGACGGCATTCGATTGGTTTCGTGACTACCTATCAAATAGAAGTCAAGTAGTCAAAGTCTCCACAGTTGTTAGTTCTAGCTCCCCTAACAACTATGGTATTCCGCAAGGTAGCACGCTTGGCCCTACCCTGTTTCTGGCCTACGTCAACAATCTTTGCAAAATCAGAATGGACAACGGTAACACGCTGGCTTTTGCAGACGATACCGCCCTAATCTTTCACGGTAAAACTTGGTCCCTAGTCCGGAAATTTGCTGAACGAGGTCTTAAAAAGGTTATAGGGTGGTTAGACAACAATCTTCTAACCATCAATGTACCTAAAACAAAATTCATATGCTTTAGAATCTCTAGTGCTACTAAACCTCCCATTAATTTTAACGTAAAAGCCCACTTTAAAACGTGTTCCTCCGATACTATTGACCCCCCTTGTGATTGTCCCTATTTAATTGAAACTAATACTCACAAATATCTGGGTATCATAATTGATAAAAATTTCAATTGGGCACCTCATATCTCATCCCTAAGCAAAAGAGTACGAAAATTGCTTCACTTTTTTAAAAACCTTCGTGAAGCAGCTGACCCAACGCTTATTATAAAAATCTATTTTTCTCCTTGTCAATCCCTACTAACCTATTGTATTCCGGTTTGGGGTGGTGCTGCTAAAACGCATCTTTTGGAGATTGAAAGAGCACAGAGAGCTGTTCTCAAAGTCATGCTAGGTAAACCCAGGAAATATCCGACACGCCAGTTATACCAGGAGTCTAATTTACTTACTGTTAGGCAGTTATTTATTTATAATACTATCCTTCGGCATCATAAAACGATAGACCCATCCCAACTTCCTAAACATAAGAGGCGATATCGTACGAAAGTCCCAAATTATAATTCAATATTTGCTCGACGTCAGATGTAATATACTGGGCCGTTTCTCTATAGGTACTTTGATGATATATCCCGAATAATTGAAATGAATAAAGCTGGTTTAAAGACAATTCTAAAAGAAAAATTAAAATCTTTTGATTATCTTGCAACAGAAAAAATATTAAAAGTTGATAAATAATCCTGTATTGGCATTGCAATCTTAAACTATAAAATGTCCTAAATGTATTATTTATTTAGAATTTATCTTCTTTATATGAATAGTGTGTGTCAAAACTTCCCATCATGATTGTTTATAAAATATCTCACTAAGTACATACAATTCATAAGTTTTCTGACCATTGTTTGGGGTGGAGGGTTGATAACCTGGGATACAGGATTTTTCCTAGTTCAGGTATCAGCCCACCACAGTCTGCTACATTGTACCATTGCTTCATGTAAGTTTTATTTAGATTGTGGTATGAGAAAATAAAATTTATTATTATTATTTCTAAATAAATATACTTATATATGTAAAGTATATGTATTCTATCCGTTACCCTAGCATCCCATAACACAAGTCTTACAGCGCTTACTTTGGAGCTAGGCTAATTGGTGTGTGTGTTGGAAATATTTATTATTATTATTTATGGTTGTTTAGAAGTTCAGACAAAATCCTAGCACCGTCTACAGCGCCCCCAAGCGGGTACAGTTGTAATCTAAACCATCCAAGAATCCACCCACCCACTGTTTTGTGAAAGCTTCCTTGCATGTACTCTTGAGTAGTGTTCTGTGTATTTAACACTGTTTTGTGTGTGTACTCTAACCCCCTTATTAATAAACGAGAGACTAAGTTTAGACTATTTACGCCGTGCTTTGTTTATACCACTCAAATGCCATTTGTCATTCAATGAACAAAGACAAAACAAGGAATAACCAAACCAATTGAAGCTTATTCTTCGTTATAATTTTTATTTTATTCTTCGTTTATTAATAAAGGGGTTTGTGTACATTTTAACACTGTTTTGTGTATGCTTCTTGTGTGTACATTTTATTTAATACTGTTTTACGCTTTCTTGTTTGTACACTGAATAATGTTTAGTATACATTTCAACAATGTTTGGGTGTAGGTCATCAAGTGTTATACCTTTTTCTTTGCTGCTGCGAGCTGGTCTGCGTTAGCTCTTTTGTCTGATTGGTGTCCAGGCACCCACTGCTGCCCTGGCGAATAAATCGTTATACGAGATCAAAGCCAAAACCACACTACATCAATTGGCAGACATACACCAATAGTGGAAAAGCTACAAAACATAACGTAAAATGTTTTCACAGCTAATCAATTTCTACTTTTAAACTGAGTCATAATTATTCAAATTCAAATCATTTATATTGCGAAAACAGGTTATTGTTGTGTACAAACATACAAATTATATTTAGTTCAGCCATAATATTCTGTCTTGTTGGCATGTCTGTCTTGTTGACATTATAGATAATAATTATGACTTAGTTCAACACGATTTTACCACAATACACTACAATACATTATATTTATTAAAACAATCAATTGGAACATAATAAAGATACATTGAATTCTAATTACATAATTTAACAAAATAAAATCTGCCATATTAATTACTTTAATTACAATTAAGTTTCATCGTTTACTATCAACTTTGGAACGCTTTACTTTGGAAGCGTTGATTGAAAATTTTCTAAACTAATTTAGTATCAAGACATTTTAATGTTTGAGGCCTAGATATATCTAAAACTAGATATATCCGATACAAAAATGTCACAACGACAATGTCAATTTGAAATTGCTGCAAGTGGACTTTAGTGCGCAAAAACAAAACTTTTAATATTAATAGCACTCTGTTCAAGACTTGACGAATCTTTTTGAGATAATCTATTTATAGTGAACTTATCTTAACTTATCTATTTAGAGTGCTTTTATTCGTAAATAGGTTAAATAAAAATAAAATTCTACCAGTTCTAAGGACGGCCATGCAACAGGAAACCCGCGCAAAGCGTAAGCATGGATGGTAACATAAGAACGAAGTATGAACATGTGTGATACCATGCACCAGAATGGTAAATTAATACGAAATTAAAAAGATTAAATCAACAAAACAGAGAATAAATTATTCGTTCCTGGTTAAAGAAGAAACACTAATTAATAAGATAAACAAAAACAAAAAAAAAAATGTTTTGTAAATTAAAAATAAAATAAAGAAAATATTAATGAATAATGGGTGCTGCGCGTGACGCCAATATAATCCTGGCATTGATTTTTATATAGTGCAATTCAAGCTTTGTGCCGGTTGTAAAGTTAGCAACGAGCGAAACTATGGGCAGATTTCAGACACGGAGAATGGACGGCGAACTGTAAAATAAATCTGAGCAGATAATAAGTGTAAGGCTCGTATTAATAGATCGCTCTCAGCTCTAAGAGCAATCTCGAGTAAGATCTTGAGATATTGTTTTCATACAAAACAGTCTCAAAATTAAGGGCGATCCATTAATACGGGCCTAAGAAAGAAGTGATAACTCCACCCAAATTTCGTACAAGTAGGTATTTTTCCTTTTTCCGGAATTGTCAATTTCATGGGAGCGTTTGTTCAGTCCATTCTCCATAAGAATGATGAGGGGTTAAAGTAAATGCAATTCTACTTAGTCTGTGTGTGAGATTATCAAAAAAATATGGACACTTATTTTTTCTTTTGTCAATCAACCAAAAAAAATTACAAATATAAAGCGCATCAAAGTTTAGGAGTGGGGGCTCGCGACGTCACTTCTTAGTAAAAATTATACCAAGTAGTGACGTCATGCGACATTTCAAATCAATTTATTTCTGTAATGTTTTGATTATGTGACAAAATAAAATATACGTATCCAATACCTTCTGACAATCTACCTGATACAAAAGAAAACATTAAACTTAGTCATCATCCCTCTTATGGTTTAAGCCATTTCTAATGTTACAACCTTGCGCGCCAAAAATTTCAATTAACGTGACTTGCGCTAACTTCACACCCGTCAATAACTTTGAATGGCACTATTCACCGCACCACTGCTTCGATTGGATCCAAGCCTAATACGTAGGCAAAATTGTAATTTAGATAAAACAAAATCTTTTAGAGCTATGATATTGGCGTAATGCGCAGCCGGCGATGCTAGAAGCTCAAAGTACCACGGATCGGGGTCTCACGTCGAGATGGTGGGGCTGCGCATTGGGATGCTTCCTGTGTGCCGCGTGTTGTTCATAGTGAGCGCATTCTTCAAGCCTAGTGACGCCCGCTAGCCTGTACCGGTGCAACTCCGCCAGTCTCACTCTGAGCTCTCGCTCGCGCCACAACCCAGCCACTACGGCCGCCTGTTCCGAACGCCCGTAGAACTGAGCCGTCCAACGGAGGCGCTCAGTGAACTCCCTAAGAAATAAGGTAATTTTGAATTCTTGACAGCCCAACAAAGTATAAATACTTTGCTAGAACTGAGCCGTCCAACAGAGGCGCTGCGTGAACTCTTTAAGAGACGAATTCATCACCATCCTATTAATGTTTCTACTGCTGGGGCACATGCCCTCTCTATGGATGGAATAGGGAGATTAGGGCATGACCCACCACGCGGTCCCAGTGCGGATTGGTGGGTGCTAACGACTGCAGATGCAGCCAGGACCATCTGCTTTACGTGCCTTCCGAAGCACAGACGAGCTCGGGGTAGTAAGTTTTTGGTCACCCATCCAATGACCGCGCATTGTGAATGTTGCTTAAATTCCACGATAGCAAACCGGATGCGCTATCGAACTCCTCAAGAAGAAACGAGTTTGGAGTAAATAACAAATTCTGGACAGCTGGAACATTATGTAATTCAATTTAGTCCCTAACTAAGTAGAGCTTGTACTATTGCAACTGAATAACGTATAGAGAAGGTACATATTCTACTGGCACTTCACTTGTTTATTCCTGTTTCCCATTTGTCTTGGCTATTCGTGTTGACTGTTGTTAATCTTGAATTTGAACAATTAGCAAATACAAATAGCCAAGTGAAGTGTCATCATAAAGTATATAGACCACCATGACGCAGCAACAAATATTGATACTCATCACACAAATAAATGTCCCTATCGGGATTCGAACCCAGACAAAGTAGAAGACCGTTGCAGCAATTAGTGGTATGAGTTATCAGTATTACATCCTTACTCTGAAATGTGAATTAAATTATATGCTTCATCAAATCAAGTTTTGTCTTATTTTATTATCAAATCAATGAAAGAGGCGGCATATTATACCATATTCAAAATAAGTTTAACTGAAGTGTTGAAATGCGTCTCCTAGTATAAATTATAATTACTAATACAATCAAATAGTAAAATAATACCTTAGGTAAATGTGAGACTGGCACACCCTCTTAATTTAAGAGAACATTTAAAATAAATTGAATATCTTAACTTACTTTTTCTCTTTTGCGAGTTTGCCTAGAGTTTTCTGTTTGTTTCGCTGGTTATTGAAGAATATTGAGACCAACTGAAAATCCCTTACGAGTCTTTTCCTTCTGGTCCTCTCTCGTAACCGGCGCACATATATGTCGACTTGCGACAGCTTCAGAGCTATAATCAAAAAGGTCCAAAATATAATTTCATCTACCTGACATGAGACAAAAACAAAATAAAACCTTATAAAAGCCTATAAGTAATTGACTTATTTCCTGCCCCTAGAAACATAGATCGCAATGGAAAACGCAAAGTAAATGTACTTTGCGTGCCAAAAACATGCCAAAAGAATGAGCAAAACTCCTTCCTTCATCGCCATTTTATTTCTTCGCGGCAGCGTCCTATATACGGGAAATCAATCGCAAATTAAAAAAAAACTAATTGTGCCATATAATTCTGTAAAAAATAGATTAAAACAAAAAGGGAAGATACGGTACGCTCATACTAGCATCAAATAAAATATGTTCCGACTCAACTACATAAGCAACTCTCACACGTCTGTATATAAACAGTCAATCGAGAGAGCGAGACAGAACTGTACGCTTCAACGCAGCGCGAGCGAAACACGGCTGAGCTTTGTTGTTGTCATTTTCATGATAACAAAATGGCGATTACGTAAATAACATTCACGACAAACCGTGATTTTTAAGAAAATAATATTTTTACAGTTTTACGAATGAAAAGTGTTGCCGAGGCATTTGCTAATTGACGTTGAACTATTTGTGTTCTTTATAAAATCATCGAAGGCATTGTTTTATCTTTTCACACTGAATATACACAATATTGTTATATTGAGTACACATGCAGCATGTTTGAATATTCAATTGTGACTAAAGCGAATTGTGGTCACGCACCTCAATTTAGGTGGATCAGTTTAGAGCCGCGAGTGCCGTATCTTCCCTTTTTGTTTTAATCTAATTGTAAAAATGATAAAATTGCAACAAGCGGCCTAGGCGCAGGCTTTTCCATCACTTAATTTGTTTGCAAAATATAAAACACTCAGTTTTCATATAATTCAAAATACGTCTTCTTCTTGGGTGATTCTCAGTTAAGAGGTATGTTCGATGGCTAAGCCAAAAAAATCATTATATTTGGAAATTATGGTCTAAAATCTTAATAATTTCAATTAACTAACTGTGTTCTAAATTCTCACTTAAAATTATATTCTAAATGTGCATAATTTACTTACAATAACAGCACAAAGAGGAAAAACATCTCTCCCCTGGGTTGTCCCTTAACCGTTTTTTTTGTAAATCTGTAATTTTGAGTCCATTGAAATTTAATTATTACTTTTCTATCGGTAATAACATGAACCCTGATAACTTAGTTACAGTAGGTAACCATTAAATTCATTTATATTTGCACTTTTTATAAAAAATATTAATCGCAAACTGTGTCCTCCGAATTTCGTCTCTCGCCCCCTGGCCTTAGGTTTAGTTTGAAAATCGTATTTGTTTACCATAGTCTGTGGTAGTTCTGACCTTGAAGACACCGAGTGTCACATGAGCTAGCAGCAAGCGCTGCACAAGCCATCTGCGCGGCAATTTTTTTGGCCATTTGCGCAACGTTGCTCGATAAGTGGAGCCATGTTGAGTGATCGAAGTATTTACCCTGGTCATTTTTTTCGTATTTATGTGTTTAAATACTACAATATCTATATACATTTATTTTAAATAGTGCTGCAAACCTTTTATTTATTTGAAATCTTTGTAAAATTAGTAGTTTTACGGCAATTTTAGATCTTTAACGAAAATGTCTCTCTACCCTGCCATATTTCCCCTGGCTGTTATGGTGCCAGGCTACTAACAAAACTATAAAAATGATGCAATAGCTCAATAACAGTAATGATAATTTATTAGAGAATGTACAATTGCATATATTTTAGATAATTGTTTCGCTTTATATCGTTATTTCGCTAAAATCTGATTGCACGGATAAGTACTTTACAGTGCATCCTAATATGCGCTCTAAGCGCATTGCAATAAAGTTCATCTTGTCTCTACCCTGTACTCAGTATCTCCCCTGGTGTCTCGTAAAACGAGAATAAATTTAAAAAATGACTGATCATCTTAAAATCATATTAAAATCATCTGTCTTGATAAAAGTAGTGATATAGTTATATAAATATCGATACTTTTTGCTGTGCCACTGCTTCCATACAACCGATTACCTCTTAACTGAGAATCACCCTCTTAAATCTAGGTCTGTGCTGCCCTTTTATTAGGGCACAGGCCTTCCCTTCCCTATGAATGAAATAAGAAGATGCCATGCATACACGGGCCCAGTGCGGATTGGTGTGTGTTAACAACAGACTGCTCATGCAGCAGAGACCAAAAGCTTTAAAAGAAGATAAATTTTTAGTCACCCATGACCAACCATTACGAAAGCTGTTTCACTTCCACAACATCAGATCGAAAACTCTAGCCACTGTACCACCAAGCTTCAACACTACATGTACTTATGTATTTTAAGTATGAAGTTATACTTACCAACGTCTAACTCATCATCTTCAGAATTCAAAGACAGTGTTGAGACTAATTGTTCCGCGTCATGGTCGTGTTCCTGTACGAAATAAATTGTTGCTATTATTTGCTTTATTCATATTTCACATTTTTTTATTCTACAAGTACGGTTTTTATTTACTATATCAAATAAGTAGAGGTGCCCTGTGATTTCACCCGTATTAATTAGAGGAAAAATGATATAGTGAGGCACACTTAAAAGATAGAAATATGATGTCATGGACTTTTGTATAGAACTTTTAAGGAGAACAATTCCTTTATGGCTGTTGTGTAACTTTTACCATTTACACAGTGCACGCAACGGAAGCTGTTTTGTGGTTTTTTTTTCAGTTTTTGCAACAATTTTCATTGCTTGTCTGCTCCTATTAGTCATATGGTATAGTCTTCCTCGATCATTGTACTGTCCAACACAATAAAGTTTTCTCAAATCGGATCAATAGTTCCTGAGATTTATGAGTTCAGCCAAACAAACTCGTCAGCTTTATAATATTAGTATAGATTCAATCTTCAACTAAATGTTACCTAACTGTGATTCATAACAGCAAAAAGTGCTGATACAGCAATTCAGTTGTTTATACAACTATTTCATACTATAGAATTCGCTAAATTTCATTCACAGCATTTTGACTTAATGACTCAATCTTAAATAACATACATTTATAAGGCCTGAGCAAATAATTAGACTAATATTATAAGTGAAAATTTGTAGTCAATCGCAAAAAAACTATTGAGCAGATTTAGTTTAAATTTGGAATGCATATAGTTTGAGATTGAGACATAGGATACTTTATTTCCCTAAAAGATTGCTAGATTCCTGTAGGATGAGAAGAATAGGATAAAAACAGTCTTTAGTATATTGAATTCTCAATAAACTAAAGTTAATGTGTATGAAGTCGCTGGCAACCGCTAGTTGATAATAAATGTAATACACTGAAATTATTGACTGTTTTTATCCTATTCTTCTCATTATTCAGAATAATTAAAGAATATTTGAATAGAATAAAATGTTATTAATATATATTACCCTTTCAAAGTCATCTCTATTTGGCATGTAACCCAGCTGTGCAGCTTCATCTGAGGTAACAGCAAGATGTGGCAGTCTAGACACAGCATTGGGACCAAGGGGTCCATCATCTTTGTCAGCACAGTGTAGTGACGGTCTAGAAGTACTTTCTACGTTACCCCAAGTGGCCCGACCAATGCTTCCTTCTAAATATCTTGTAATATACTCATCTTTTGCCTCTGAAAGACAACCAATTCTGAGTCAACCATAAATATTCGTAAATCATTTTAGTAATTATTATACAACTTAAAGAATGGGAAAATTCTACCTTATTACAATTAAAAGTATTAAGATATATACCTTAAAATTTTATATTAAGGTATATAGTGTAAACTCTTTATAACTAAACTAAGATAGGCATTTGAATTGTTTTAGTGTGAATAGAACGAAATAGAAAACAGTAGAAAACAGCAAAATTCACAATACTTCACTATCCAAGTTCACTTTTCATTTTTCTCTTTTTTAATACATTACATCACACAAACTTATTCTTGTCCCAATATTTTTTTTTCGCCAAGTCAACAGTTTTACAAGTTTGTTTTTGATATTACAATAGGTATCTAGTTGACTCTGTACTGAGTTCAAGATTTCCAACAGACAATGCAATTTTAAAAGTAACACAGCTCTTTAAGACTTGAGAATTTTACAAACCGTAGCGGGATATTGCACCAGTTACAAACTCAAACATAATAAACATTCTAAAGTAAAAATTATAAAAAGGTTACACTGTATATTTTAGTAGATCACAGTGCAAGACACATATAAAGCTCAAATTATAATAAAAAGAAGAAAGACTAGGGCTATCGCAAACATTACATAAAAATGTATACCTTCTGGTGTTCTTGTTTCTATGTGTTTTGCTATATCTTCCCAATTACCAAATCCAAATTGTTCTATAGCATCTAATAATCTAACTTCTTCGTTAGCTGACCAGTTGCTGCGTCCTAAAAATATCCCGAATGCTCCAGAGTCCTAAAATAAATGATTATAAAACTGCAAATGACTATTATACAACACAATTTTTTATTAATCTACCAATACTTACCATGTATTGATAAGAATGGTCATTTTTATGTGAACCTATTTCGGCACCTAATGAAAAACACTGAAATAAAATACAATGAAAACATTACAGATTTGCAATAAAATTTCTAATGTGTCAATAGTATTCAAATTTTGCGCCAAAACTATAAACAAAAATGGCATCGATGCTACTTTACCTGCAAACAAATATCAAAGTCGATACATTCTGCACATCTCACGCGTATACCATTTATTTCTTCTTGACAATATGTACAATTATATTTTGCATATAAATCTGAAAACGACATGATTGTGGTAACGTTTCTACATACAAATAATTGCGATCGTTGGCAAATCTGGCGCAACTACTCACCGGCCATGTTTTTTTGTCATAGACAAAAATAAACTATCTTCTTGCCAACAGACAACAGAGTTGAATAAAATGTTACTAGTAAAAAATAATATTTTACGATTGAACAAAAAAAATCATTATGAAAATTTATTGAAAGCAGGAACCAGTTGATAGATCTGAACAAAATATTGTAAACCAAAAATAGAATTAAAACACATTAAGTCAGTTTATTTATTTTCTAAGAAGTAGCCGAAAACAAATATTTTTTTACAACAAAGTTTAAATGAAAGATGTTTATGGTGGTTTTCCAATTACAGAGCATAATGCGACTCAGTGGCGCACAATGCCGAATTATGCTGATGCTTAACCAGTTCAACGACCAAGTGCATACGCCGCTCACCCCCTCAACCGGCCACGACAAAAATGAGGCCCCGCACGGGTTGGGAACGATTGCATTGTTTTGCCGATATCTCTGTTATTTTGTATGAATACCCTATACAAACTATATATATTTGGATTCTCCATAAAATTTACTATAAAATAGTGTCTAAACAATGCGTCATGTCTATAATCTATTTTAATTACGTTACGGTAAACTCGGGAAAGATAAAAAAAGACGTTTAGACGGGTAAAATGGAGTATATTTTCAAAATTTCATGTCCAGATTTTTTGGTTATTTGCACATTCTATTATAACTTACCAAATAAAATCATAAAATACCATTATCCCACAATTTAATTTTACACTATCGGTCTCACATTCCACGCGTGCCAGTAGTGTAAACAACACGGCGCGAAGTATAAACAAGCTCGCATTTCAAGTGGCTCGATAAGGATTAAGTGGGCGTTAGAATGGGTGTGATTTATTATCCCATTAGCTCCGACTGTTTAGATAACATTACAACCAAGATTGTTATGAATAACGTTTGTCCATTTTTTAGGTTTAAGAACTTACAACGATGAACGTGAATTAAATTCGTTCATAGTGGATATTGTGAAATATAATTGGTGTGATTTTGTGTTACAACTGTCTGCGTAACTGAAGAATTAGTAGAATCGTCAAAATATACGCTTTTCCGGTCAAGTGGACGTGAGAATTTTATTGTAGTATTGACTACCTCACAGAAGCTTATCGAAAAATCCAGCTCGATACATTTCGTGCCAAACACTTCAAGAAACATTAGAATGCGTCACACCGACATTTTAATGTAAAAAGAAAAACAGAATAATTTAACTTAAGACTAGGCTGTATGGGCATTGTTCCCCTTGCCTTCCTTGAAAAGGGAGAACTTAACCAAAAAAAATATATAAATATTACTCTTTGGTACGAAGTACTATTCTGTGAATAAGGGCCATGGACAACCTTTATAAACAGGACTGAGTACTTTTACCGATAAAACGGAATGAGCGAGAAATACAGAACAACGCCTTTTTATCCTTTTTTAATAGTGTTACCATGAATTTTATTTTTCGATATTCTCACACTGAAAATGACAAGTTTTGTTTAATAAACCTCTAATAAAACCTTTCCGGTATCGATTTTTAATTTGTTAGCAGGGTCTTCTTATCATTCTTTATACTGAAATGAAGGGAGAGACTGATGTTTTAAGTTTACAGACTCATGCCAATCGACATCTTTATTATAATTTCATGAAAAAGTTAATTTAAGGTCATCGTATTAGAAAAAAAAAAATGGTTGCCTGTAAAGTCGGTTTTACGGGCGAAGATTTTACGTGACAACGTCTTTTTCTCGGTAGAATATTTATTGATATGAATATAATTAAATTGCACAATAGGAACAAGGAATTGAATGAAAATAAGAATTGCACAAATTTTAACTATAGAAATATATTTTGTTTACTAAAACATTGTACATGTAAACTTAAACTTAACACGAGAGACTCATCGTAACGTTACCGAGCGTTACACTTTTTCATAAGTGACTCCCAGCCGCAACCTAATTTAAGACGTTGTCACGTCAAAAGATCAAATGCCTCTGTTCTATATCTTCCACTTGCCCCGTTTAGTAACAGTAGTCAGTTGAATTGATAGAGAACGTCCATGGAAAAACACATTTAACAAGGGCAGCGGATGTTCTGACAGCAGACAGGTAGCTTTCCAATTACAGCATTATAGCGCATTATGCGGCATAATGCTTAACGTTGAGTGTTTCAACTATAGCAACGCTTCGCACAATGGAGCACTCTCAAAGGTTGCTTTCCAATTACAGCATTATAGCGCATTATGCGGCATAATGCTTAACGTTGAGTGTTCCAACTACAGCAACGCTTCGCACAATTGAGCACTCTCAAAAGTGATTCTTTCGTGTGATGCGTGCAATCGTACCAACTCAGAGACAGAAAATTAACAAGTGTTTTTTCTTTAAGTTGGCATTGATCGAAATGTTTTATTTATATGTTATCGTTACTAATATTATTTACTGTTGAAAAATTATTAAAACTTTCGTTTCATTATAGTTTTTTTTTAAATAATCAAAGTTAATTCAAACTGTGTTAAAAAATTAAATATATAAATATGGATGAAGGTACAATATTGACTTTTTTTTTTAAACACTGAACTTAGCGCACTCTGCTGGTGCATTTGAAAAATAATATTTATATTCCGTACATAGACTAAAACGTCAGTATGACATTTCTATACGAAAATCAATCATAGAGTAACTTTGGTTCCAATCCACTTCCAATAGTTCCAATCTGTTGATTTCCTCTGTTGAAATAATTTTCCTGTCCATTTGTTGTGTGTGTAATTAAACTTGATATTTTTTCAAATATTGCAAATTATAAATCTACTTTGTGAAATTACTGAATTGGTACACTAATTTTACTGGTGATTACTAAAATAATAATACACAAAGCATATTTTTTACACTGCATCCAATCATGTTTTGATTTTTTCCTAATGTATGTTGATACGTGATAGTGGTTCAGAATCTTAGCCCGGAGTGTGCTTCAACCATGAAATCTAGCAAACGAAGACTACAGGCGCTCACAGAAGGAACCGATGGAATACCAAATTACCTTAAAATGGAAGATTCTGAAACATCAATTCCTCCAGTATTTAGATCTAGATTACATGAACTATTTTCTCAGATTGAAAAAGAATTTGACCTTCTTTACACTGAAAACTTAAATTGTAAGTAAAAAATTTGAAATAATTAATATCTTATTTTCTCAATTGAAAGTAACAGAAAGAAGTAGTTAACAGTGTTCAATATCTATTTTTTTTACTATTTTAGTACAAGAGAAAATAGATATTTTGAGTGAAAAGTTGGAAAGAGAGAGTTATGTAGGCGACAGACAGAACTTGGATTATATTGAATTTGAAACATCAGGAAAAAATTCAAAAGTGAAATGTAAGTTTGACATTATTTTTCATATTCTATCACAAGGACTATTAATAAAAGCATTCCATTATAAATAATATTAATATTATTGTGTTTCCTGGATTTGTATTAGAAAACCTAATTCTCACAGTTATCAGATATTAACATAGTACCTATTTATTACCTTGACTTTCTAACAAAAATTTGGGATAAGAAACATTACTATAATTGTTTTTTCTCTTGTAGTGTCTCAAAGCAACTCTCAAAAAGTTAAAGCTAGCCATAAATTGCGAGTGCAAACTAGCAAGATAGTGTCCAGTTTCAAGGCACCAACATACAATTGTCAACTGGTTCGTGAGTTTACTGGACACAAGGATGGCATATGGGATGTATCATCATCTCGGCCTGGACAATCTCTCTTTGGCACTGCATCAGCTGGTAATCACTACTGTAAAAAAAAACTCAATAAGCTAAAAGACTGTGTATGAGAATGCACAATGTTATTATACCACACCACATAATCAACCCCCTGTTTGACTTTGTCTAACTTCAACGCAATCATGACATCATTTTACACAAAAAAAAATTTTATACTGGAATATGCCCTATTATTGTTTGTGTATATTTTTCAAAGATGATTCAGTTAGTAAAAGTTAGACAATTTAGGAGCCAGGAAAACCAGAAAAATCATTGTTATAATACTTGTGTGAAATATTTCCTTATTTCAGCTGATAAAGATTCGCTATCCTGATATGTTTCTATATCATTACAACAACACGAACTATTGATCTGATATGAGATAAATTCATTGAACAATAATCTCCATACATAAAAATAATTAATCTCCATTTCCCTTGGTCATGTCAAAACTTTGGAAAGATATGCTGATTTTATCCACCATTCTTTTAAGCTATATTATATGTTGAAGAAGGTTCTTATTTTTTTTAGAAAGTTGCTCATAACTTAACCAAATGGGGACAATTTGCACATCAAAGTTAGTTACTAATAAATTATGTAGGGCACCACCTTCCCAAACAGGAATATAATAAAATAATAAAAAATATTTCTAACACCCGCACCAATTAGTCTAGCCCCAAAGTATGTAAGCACTGTAAGGCTTGTGTTGTATAATACAAGGGTAACAGATAGAATACATAAACTTATATACATATAAGTATATTTATATAGAAATACATAATATTAACCTCCATGACTTGGATATAAATGCTCATTTTCATCACACAAACATTTGTCTTAGTAGGAGCCAAGCCTCAGCATGTGGTTGCGCTCCTGTTACTTATTACTCGCCGCTTGCAGAGTTCAAAACATATTATTATGTCAGGCTACATAGACCATTCCGAGCCTGGTCATTGCGGGCATGTAGCAATTACCATTGATAAGCAGATTTCTCGTTGATAGACCTTGTCGCAATTCTTTTGCTCATGGTGGCAGTGCCTCAATTTGGGTAGTTTTAAAGTAATGAGTATTTTTTCTTCTCAGATCACACAGCGTGTGTGTGGAGTGTGGAATGGGGAAGATGCCTCCTACAATACACTGGGCATCAAGGATCTGTGAATTCAATCCGCTTCCACCCTACTCGGGACATTGCTCTAACCAGTAGTGGGGACAACACTGCCCATGTGTGGCAGGCTGCTGTCAACTGGGATTTACCTGTATGTTTTAGTAATTCCAAATGTTTTGCCATATACTTTGTTAACTTTTGTTGTAATACTTTTATTGATTATGTATTAACGAGTTATGTGTAATGCAAATATTCAACTCATCAAAGAAGTACAATAATTAGCCGGCATCGACGCGGCGAACGCTTTCTGCCTGAAAAAAGGGTGAAATAATTGTAAACTTTATCTACATAATATGTACCTACTTATAAGACCTGTATCGTTTGAAAAGGTCCCGCGAGCAGTCAAGATTGCGCGCGGCAGCTTACCAGCGCGTGTGGGCGCGCGACACCTTCGAGCTTTTCCAGCGATACTAGTCTTTTAAGAATAAAAGACTAGTATAGAAACGATAAATAGTAAAGAAACGATCGACGGGTGATCTTCTAGCGTACTTAACTCATATCTGGGGTGAGGCTATCGACAAGCGTGGCGAGTCGTTGGCTATCAGCCTTGACATTGCCAAGGCGTTTGACAGGGTCTGGCACAAAAGCCTTCTCTCCAAGCTTCCGGCATACGGTCTGCCAGCCCAGTTCTGTTCCTGGGTAGCTGACTTCCTGCATGAGCGTAGAATTCGTGTCCTTACGGATGGTAGCAGTTCGCGGTTCATGTCAGTGAATGCCGGCGTTCCCCAGGGCTCCGTCCTATCCCCCACTCTCTTTCTGCTGCATATCAATGACTTAATTCCTCTTGGGAATATTCATTGCTATGCAGACGATAGTACAGTGCATGCGGGGTATCTCGGACAAGCAGCGGCTGGGCTGGCGGTAACCAAGGAGAAACGCGAGAATCTTGTCATTGAACTCAATCAGGCTTTGGACCACATTTCCGAATGGGGTACCAGGAACTTGGTTGAGTTCAATGCCAAAAAAACTCAGGCTTGCGCTTTCACGGCAAAAACATCGTCATTCCTTCCCCTTCCATCTCTTCAGGGCACAACACTACCGCTGCAGAGCAACATTTCCATGCTCGGTATGGAAGTTCGCTCAGACCTGAATCCAAAGAACTACATCGAAACCGTGATCAAAACAGCTTCACGCAAACTCGGAGTCCTGAACAAGGTGCGGCGTTTTTTCACGCCCGATCAACTGTGCTTGTTGTACAAAACGCAAGTGCGGTCCTGCGTGGAATATTGCTCGCACCTCTGGGATGGCTCCGCCAAGTACTTGCTCGATGCTTTGGATAGGTTACAGCGACGCGCGATCCGCATCATAGGCGATGAGGAGGTGACTAAACACCTTGAGCCTCTTCAATTACGCCGTGACGTGGCGTCACTAAGCGCGTTCTATCGTCTGTACCACGGCGAGTGTTCTGAGGAGTTATTCTCTCTTATCCCACCTTCTCCTTTCCTTCAGAGGACCACGCGCGCTGGCCTACGTTGTCATCGTCTAACTGTGGCCACAATTCCAACGCGTACAAAGAAATTTGGTGACTCATTTCTTTGTCGCACTATCCGTAAATGGAATGCTCTGCCCGCTCACGTGTTCCCTCCCTCTTACAACCTGGGATCCTTTAAAAGAGGCGTGAAGAAGCAACATGCAGGCCGGCAGGGTGAAGATGGCCGGTGTGGCAGGTAAAACTGCTGTATCAGCTATCGTCACGTCTGGACTTCACCTTCACTTAACATCAGGTGGGGTGGAGTCATTTGTCGGACCTATCTATAAAAAATAAAAAAAAAAAGATAAAGTTTATTTATTTCACCCTGCTTCCAGTGAGAAAGTGCTCGCCGCGTCGCTACATTCCGCTCTGAATCGGCCTTAAGATTGTTTTCACATTTTTTAGCGTGGACAGTCTTCCGAAGAAGAACTCGAAGGTGGGGGTGAAGAGAGTTTAGGCGAGGGCGGTGAACGGCCGGAAGTGTTACGCACACCGCTTACTGAACTGCTGGGCCACCAGGGTGTTGTTGTCGCAGCTGATTGGCTGCCGGGAGGCGACCACGTCATTACTGCCTCTTGGGACAGGACCGCTAACTTATATGATGTAGAAACTGGTGACTGTCTTCAGGTTCTGACAGGTGACTATGAAGAATTTTAATATAGTGATTTATGCGAGTGCTTTCAGTACTTGTTATACAACATTTTTCAATGTTATTTGCGAGGAAATAAAACAAAAAAAATAGCCACTTGTTAAAATTACATACTAAACTCATATCTGTCATCACAGTATCTGTAGTGTAATTTAAAATCGAATTATCCTTTACCCCAAAACATGGGAACCTAGGAGGTAACTTATCAAAGGTTATGTTTAAATTTCGAACTGACTGCCTGACTGCAATTAAAAAGCTACATATTTATAAAAAAAAATGCTGCGTGGCGCTAGGGCATAGCGCAAGGCTTAAAATTAGCAAAATATTGGGTAAAACTGTACTTCCAGGGCCCAAGAGGTGATACTTGAATTTTTTGGTAGAAAAGGTCTCTTTTAAAAAATTTTTTTTTGGCGCTTAGCCGGCCGCTGCCGCGGCACGCTCGCTTTGCTCGCTCGGCTCGCGCGTTATGCTCATAAGACTAACCTAACCTAGTGTGAAGTATCACCACTTGGGCCCTGTAAGTACAGTTTAGACAAATACTTTTCCACACGCGTGCAGCAGTCACTTTCCCCATAATGTATATACATAAAAAAAAACACTTTCCGAGCAAGTACATTGAAAAAGTTATTGTAATCTGGAACATGTACTGGTGGAGATTGTAGTCTGGCTATGACATGCAGAATATCCTACCAGACTCTCACAGTCATCTCTTTCGCACTAGCTATTTTCACAGCTATATACTGTACTGAGGTATGCTATTAAAGATTACTCTTACATACTATATGTACGTAATATTAGTTAATTAATTCTCACTCACAACAACATAACCTTGAACTGTTGACTTTTAACATATGTTGTAAACAAACCAGAAACTTGAATTAAGAACTTGATCCTTGTTTTTTTTATTAGATTCGTATAATTTTATATTACTTCCTACAATAATAAGGTTGTGTTTGTATAACACATTATTAAATTGAATTGATGTTTTAAGTAGGTCAGTCAATTTCTTACACAATAAATAATGTAACTTCACAGAATAAATTTATTTTTATAGGGCTAACATGGCAAGGCAGAGTAGGTACGACATGTTAAAGAATTTCAGCATAAATTGTCTTTTCACTGTCGCAAAACTCAGCATCTGGCAGCTGGACGTACCTGGGAGTTTTTCCCCGCCCCCCACGACAACAGCTAACTAGAGCCGGGGTTCGAGTCTCAGAGAAGCCCTCTAATTGAGGCTCGAGTGGTCTAGAGGCTCCAGACTCAGAGGAGACTCCCCCCGTGGGGAGATGCCATCCGCCTGGAATACCTCTAGAGGCACTCGCCAATTCTCAGCTTGGGACCTCCTTAGGATCTTGCCGTCCCCAAACCCGGTGACGCTGTAAAGGTGATGACACCTTTACAGCGTCACCGGGTGCGACCAACAGCATACACACTCAAAAAAAAAAGTTTTTGTTTTTTCTAGGTCACGACCACGAATTGACGCACGCGTCTGCGCACCACAGCTCGAGGCTCGTAGTCACCGCCTCCAGGGATACCACGTTCCGTTTGTGGGACTTCCGCGAACCAATACACTCGGTATCCGTCTTCCAAGGACACACAGAGTAAGCACCGTTACATTTCAGAGCGATAGGGGGGATGTCGAGGTAAAATAAACGAAACTCTATTTAGATCGACAGATAGATTTAAAAAGCAATTATGGACACTATTAAATTAAATATGTCATGTTTTTTTTTCGTCAATTAATAAAAAAATAATTAAAAAGATATAGCGCGTCAAACTTTGGGAAAGGGGCTCGAGACGTCTCTTTTAAGAGCGTACGCGAGCTGAGTGGCATTTAAGAAATAGGCTGCTGCTGCTATCGCGCATTGGCAAATACCATGCGATAGGGACAACAGTAATTAACAAGAAAATTAGATATATGTAAAATAATTTTTAGCCATAGGTCATTTCTTCATTTTAGGGTTTCTTTCTGCCTGTTCATCTCTTTGTCTGTCACCAGACTGGTATATCACGAACTATGAAAATTGGACAGTTAAGATTCTCATAGATAATACATTAATGTTGCCGCTTTAACAACAAATACTACAAACAAAGAAACAAAAAAATAAGAGAGGCTCATATACATCAAATGTGATTTTATTGCCATTTTGTATTATATATTAATAACGACAACAGGTAGAGACTTAAAATATTAATAATTAGTTGTATTTTCACTTTAAAAACAAATAAATTTAATTAAATATTCAAGGGAGGCTCGCATACAACAGATGTGATTTTTTTTGCTTGATAATGGTACAGAACCCTTCGTGCGCAAGTCGAACTCGCACTTGGCCGGTTTTTATTAATAATTCTGTACAACAAAAATAATTACAATAAAATTAAGGGTTACTGAGAAAGTACCACTCCAAACAATAGTTTTCATATAGGCTAAATTCCTTTGCTAACTTAACTTTTGATAAGTATATTTGTCATTTTCATATAAAATCTGTGTTTAGTTTTAAGTATACTTAACTTGTTATTAATTTTCGAGAACTTGTAATAATTTACAATGTTACAGGAGCGTCACTTCAGCAGTATTCACACGTGAAGATAAAGTAGTATCGGGCTCAGACGACCGTTCCGTGAAGGTAAATCATTATACAAAAATACAACACGTTAAACTAAAGTTAAACGTAGTAAAAAACTGGAAGGGGAAATATTAAGTTTTGACGACCTCCGTGGCCGAGCGGCATGTACGCCGGGTTTCAAGGTGTCGCAGATTTGAATCCCTATGGGGGCGAATGTTTGTGTGATGAATACGAGCATAGGTACTCCAGTCATAGATGTTTAATATGTAATTTTATGTAAATAAAGTTCTATATGTACAGTATATGTATTCTATCCGTTACCCTAGTATCCCATATGAGTGGCATGTACACCTTCAGGCAGGTTTCAAGGTGTCGCCTACTCGTGAGTTTCCGGATTCGAATTCCGGTGGGGCAAATGTTAGTATGATGACTACGAGCATTTGTACCTAAGTCATGGATGTTTTTAAGTATTTCTACATAAAATATAGTTACGTATGTATTCTATCCGTTACCCTAGTATCACAAGCCTTGCTGTGCTTACTTTGGGACTAAGCTAATTATTCGATCAAGAGCCATCAATAACCACTTGCGCCATCGAGGAGCTCGTTGGTGAAGTGGGTTAGCGCGTTCGGCTGCGATCGTTGAAGTTAAGCAACTTTCGCAGTGGTCGGTCATTAGATGGGTGACCGAAAAGTTACTATCTCGAGCCCCTCCGTGCTTCAGAAGGCACGTTAAGCCGTTGGTCTCGGCTGCATCTGCAGTCGTCAGCACTCACCAATCCGCACTGGGCCCGCGTGGTGGGTCATGGCTCAATCTCCCTATTCCATCTATAGGGAAGGCCTGTGCCCCAGCAGTGGGGACATTATTAGGCTGCTGATGATGAAGCTAATTATTGGTTTCTCCCCGATACAGGTATGGGACGTTCGCAACATGAGATCTGCACTGGCCACCATCAGATCCGATTCGTCCGTGAATCGCGTGGGAGTTAGTGCCGGCGGACTCATCGCTATACCGCACGACAATAGACAAGTGCGTCTGTTCGACTTGCAGGGGCAACGGCTCGCGCGGCTGCCTAGATCTAGTAGACAGGTGAGTGGATTAGGTTTATCCCCAATACAGTACCCTTAGTACGAGTTTTACAGTGTTTAAATTCTATCATTAAATCATTTGAGTCTTCTTAAATTTTAAGTATATTTGGTTACTTTTCACCAAGATGGACATAGAAACATAATTTACAATTACGAAAACTATGATAGTTTTCGTGAGCTCAAACTCGTACTAAAAGTACTGTACCACTAGCACGAATCAATATCAAATTCGAATAGTTTGCGAGTGCGAAATGTCAATGTCAAATTTTGTATGGAAACTCGGAACAGCAGCGCCACAATGGACGTAACAAGAACTAAAAATCAGTACATATTTGACAATGACATTTTGGATTCTCAAACGATTCGAATTCTATAATGGTTCGTGCTAAGGGTACAGGTATGGGACCTCCGCAACATGAGATCTAAGCGACCACGAACAACTAACGAGACAGCATTCGTATCGCTATCGTTAAAGTTTGTAAGGAACTAGGCAGCGCCCCTACTAAATTTAGAAACACAAAGTGTCGTTTCGGCATCGGTATTGAATATCTGTAAAAAGTACCAAATAAGAATCGAAAATGGTGGTACGAATTTAATGAATATTCTTAATAACCAAAAGTTTACTGATCGGTACAGAAATATTGTAAAAATCTGTCGTCGACTGAATATGCAACCTGCACTGACATGTAATGTAACACTCAAAGCGAGTCGCGAAAAAAACCGACAGTCAAGTGGAGCACGCGCCGATGATACTTTACAAACTTACATTGCAAGTCGACTTTTAATGAGTGATGAGTTTGAGTTACAAATACATTACACCGAAATGGCAAATAAATTACACCAAAATGACAAATACATTACACCAAAATATTACAAGTCTTCCTCCAGCTTAACCATATTCTATGACTTATTTGTGTTTTCACAATTCCGCCAATAGAGGTTGCTTTTTATATTATAGGATGATGATGTAGGCACACTACATATGATGGTGAAACTGACCCAAAACAAAAAAGCACAAAATACTCTTTTGCCATTTTAAGTATGTATGTATTCAAACCATCACACCGTTTGTTCGTCACTGCGGCGCACTCGCGACTTCTATGTACCGAGCAGTTTACTCAGACTCAAGCGTGTAGGTACCTCGCGAGTAGGACTTACGTTTCGACCGTTTTTTTGAAGTGAGAACACTGTTTTGATATTATTAGGAGCTACTCAATTCAACTTCCTTTCAGCCAAAAGGCAAAAAAACCATAAAAATGTTTTTCAATAGGTCTAATTTTATACACATAAAAAAACATGATTAAAAAAATATATGACATTAAAAACACCTAAAACTGTCCCTATTCCCAAACTTTGAATGCATTATAATAGAACTAAATCGAAGAGTAGTGATGAAGCAAATGATTTACGATGAAACGTGAAATTTTCTTAATTAATTGGTGTGTGTTACAAGTATATGTTTTTGGCACTTTTTCTGATGAATGAAATAAAACTTTTGCATGTAACAGGGCCATCGCCGCATGGTGACATCGGTGGCTTGGGCGGAAGACATAGCATCGAACATAAACTTCTTTAGCTGCGGCTTCGACCGCCGCATCCTAGGCTGGTCCATCCAACCGTCCAAGGAGAATTGAGCCTTGTCTACTTGGACTCAAGGCATATATTCATTAGTTACTGTACAGGTATTTTATTGATTCTCAATTATTTATTCTTTGAAATAAAAAGTAGTCTACAAATTATGTATGCATATTGCATAATTTCTAAGCATACTGAAGATTTAATGAAAATATTTTAGAGACAAAATGGGTGTGAAAATAATTATTAATAATGTAGTTTCTTGTATAATTGGTTTTGGCACAAAGAGTATTTACTAATGATATTTTGATGACTCATGCTATATTGTTAACTGTAATTTGAAAACACGGTTTTATTTATCCAAATCTAATCGTTTCATACTTTATGATTTCGAAACAACACAATAAATAATCAAGAAGCCGCTATTTGTCATGTAAAATTAAAATACATGACCTGTGATTGTTATGGAGTTTTATCAAAATATGTTAAGGAGTAGCATGTATAAATTCTGAAATATTTTACATTGTTTTTGCCGAGTCTTAATGGTTCTGTAAATGTCTTCTTCTCTTTAAAGTGCACAAAAATATATTGTTATATAATAATTACTTTAATTAGATGCAGTGACATGTATCGTGCAGTACCGTAGCAGAAATAAACTTAAATAGTTTTACAAAAACACTCCCTTTTATGACCACCGAAACACGATATGATAATGCAAATTTAACTACGTTCGACTGCCAAAATTCATACCAAGTATCATAATATTCTTTATTTAATACACATCATGCCATCTTTATCAACTGTTTGAAATCAAAAAATAAAGATAGAATCAGGCTTAAACATGATGCGTTTTACAAATAGCAAATACGAATAACCTTCTGAAGTACCGGCATCAAGTAAGTCCCAGGAAATGTAAAAACCGAATATTAAAATAGTTCAGTCCATAAGCATAGTGAAATCCAATGTTAATGGTTAACCAGGGGTGTATTTACCCTACGCCCTATTTTTTCCGCCATTTGCAGCTCTTTGTCCTAAGCCCTAGGGCAAGGAGCTACAAAGGGTGGCAAAAGTCACATAAAGGCATTCGTTAGTGACCTATAATTTAATTTACTAATTCTAAAGGGTTCAAATTTTAATTGGTTTTAGGCGCGAGACTTTAAAATACGCCCCTGTGGAGAACCACTATCTAATCGTGTTTTGACGTGCATGGCGCAGGAACAATGTTTATTAGGCTATCTGCTTAACAATGCATGTTACTGTAACTGTGTAATGTTACATTTTACTAGATCTTTAAATTCGATTTTACGTCCATATATTATAAATTATTATTATAGTAATATTTGAAAAATCCTGCTTGTTTCGAAAGTGAGATTTTTACTACAAAGAAATCGACTTGTCCGACGTGCCAGACAGGATTCTAATCTGAGTTACAAGCACAAACAACTATTGAGAAAATATTCGCATCGTCACGTCAAAGTTTCTATGGAAAATGCCAGTTTGTCCATACGTCCGGTACGAGCGCTACTTGGTTTCCATAGAAACTTTGATGTTGGCGCCGCCAATACGCATCTGTCTAAAGTTCGTGCTTGGGGTACTGCTAGATAGCGGAAGGTCCTGCCCCTAGCATGACCACCACCGATACGAATTCCTATATCACGATTTTATCACGCTCAGTTGTCAAAACACCATATAGTTTGACAGTTAGATGTGATAAAAACGAGATATTTATCTTGTCCGGTACTCATGCTATGGGGACTGTTTCGAATCTTGTCTAGTACCTGGGATGATATAATAGGCTAATTGACTCATGTCAAATTGTACTATACAAATGTTTATTTCTTATAATTTTTGGTATGAGGATCCTAAATACATCAATTTCACTTCATACAATTAGAAGATGGCTGTAGTTATTTAAACACTAAAACGCTGTCCACCATGATTGTGACGTCAGTAAATTTGTGAACAACTAAACGTCATTGTCGTGTTACTGTGGTTTCTTTCGTCGGACTAAAATATGTACAAATCTCTTATATCTTGTCGAAAAGTTTCCGTTTATTGGTTTTGCTGACTAAATTAATGCTGGACGCCGTATTTGTGAAAGCAGAAACGACAAAACTCTTTGACTTAGTAGGTACATTAAAAATCTTGAAACTTGAAGTTCTAAGCTTTAAATTATTCAATGAGTACTTCATCAAAGTGATATTTGCAAAAGATATAACTTTCAGTCAATAAAGTTACAGGATTTCGCAAGTTTTAAACATGTGTTCATGGGTAGGTATGTTTATTTCTCTAGGCAATTGAAACCACAACTTTTCTGGAGTCTTTAACGATCTGTTTCTACATCCTCGTATAATACAATCATGATAATTACTAATATTTTTTATGTAATCTATTCGAAATCATGGTTTAATAATATAAACCAGATAGGTTATTTCCTACGTGCTTGCGAGTGTGTGCTTACAAATGTTTTGACGTCATAGCATAGATAAATCTATATACTAAAATGGCCGACAGTGTTTTTTTATATCCATGAAAAAACTATTATAAATTAAAATTTTGTAGCTTTATAGGTCAAAAAAATACAATTCATTTTTTTTTGAACTAATAGAACCATTGGGGGGTGCGAAGAATCTCCGGGCTACGGGAGGCCACCACAATAGACTGACCCTGGCGACGTACAACGGACGCACGCTACGGCTTGACTCGCATCTGGCGCAACTCGAGGTGGAACTTGGGAAAGTTAGGTGGCACATTTTAGGGTTAAGTGAAGTCCGAAGAGAGGGGGAGGACACCATAACGCTCGAATCAGGCCACCTAATGTACTTCCGCGGGGGAGACCAACAGTCCCAAGGTGGCGTTGGGTTTTTGGTGAATAAGTCCCTTGCCGATAACGTTGTGGAAATGTCCAGCGTGTCGAACAGGGTAGTGTACCTTATTATAAAGCTCACCGAGAGGTATAGCCTCAAGGTGGTGCAAGTGTACGCACCGACCTCGACAAACTCGGACGACGAAGTGGAGGATATGTTCGATGATATATCGAGGGCCCTCCACTCCACTACTAAGACCCACTACAACGTTGTTATGGGGGACTTCAACGCTAAAGTGGGAGTACAGAATTGCAGCAAATCGGTAGTAGGATCCCATGGATTTGGAAGCAGAAATCATAGGGGGCAAATGCTCGTCAACTTCCTCGAACGGGAGGGGCTCTTCTTGATGAACTCTTTCTTTAAGAAACAGCCCCAAAGGAAGTGGACGTGGCAAAGCCCCGACACTATGACTAAAAATGAGATCGATTTCATCATGACGGACAAGAGGTACATATTCAGAGACGTCTCAGTGATCAACAGGTTCAATACCGGTAGTGATCACCGACTCGTCCGGGGCTCTTTGAATATCAACTTTAAGGCCGAGCGCGTCCGATTGATGAAATCCAGGTTCCAACCTACTCTGCTCCAATCTATAACAGGGTCTGAAACGTTCCAGTCAAATCTGGAGAACCGATTTACTGCCGTGGAAACCACAACAGACGTAAACCAAAACCTCGAAAATGTGGTTCGGATCCTCAGGGAAGAGGGTACGAGATTATGTGCAACGCAGCGTAAGGGCAGGAAGTCAAAGCTTTCGGAAGAGACTTTAGGGCTAATGAAGGAACGACGTGAAAATCCACCCGTCACTTCGTCGGCAAAGCGGACTCTAAACCAAGAGATCAGTAAGCACGTACGACACGACCTCCGGTGCTCCAATACTCTCTCGATCGAGCATAATCGAGGATCCAAAGTGTTCGTACAATCTCTTGGAAGAAGCCATCTGACGAAGTTGACCACAGCAAGTGGGGAAGTTGTTGCTTCAAAGCCGGCAGTCCTTTCGGAAGTGGAAGACTTCTACAGCCAGTTGTACGCATCACATGCATCTCGACCCGATCCCGGAAATGAGGATTCTAGAGCCACATTAACACGCCACTTCACCGAAGACCTGCCAGAAGTCAGTATTGGCGAAATTGAAATTGCTCTTGGACAGCTTAAAAATGGAAAAGCCCCTGGAGAGGATGGTGTTTCAACAGAACTCTTAAAGGCTGGAGGTAAACCCGTACTGAGGGAGCTCCAAAAGCTTTTCAACACTGTCCTGTTCGAAGGGAGAACTCCGGAGGCGTGGAGTAGGAGTGTGGTTATCTTGTTCTTTAAAAAGGGGGACAAGACCCAACTTAAGAACTATCGACCCATATCCCTTCTAAGCCACGTCTATAAGCTGTTCTCAAGAGTGATCGCGAACCGTCTTGCGCGAAGACTTGATGACTTCCAACCACCGGAACAGGCTGGGTTTCGGAGCGGATACGGCACCATAGACCACATTCACACAGTGCGGCAGATTATACAGAAGACTGAAGAGTACAATCAGCCCCTGTGCCTAGCATTTGTGGACTATGAGAAGGCCTTTGACTCGATTGAAATCTGGTCCGTTCTGGAGTCCCTGCAGCGTTGCCAAGTCGACTGGCGATACATCCAAGTGATTAGATGTCTGTAGGAAGCCGCCACCATGTCTGTCCAAGTACAGAATCAGCAAACAAGTCCCATACCATTGCATCGTGGAGTGAGACAAGGGGACGTTATTTCCCCGAAATTGTTCACTAATGCAATGGAGGATATGTTCAAGACGCTGAACTGGAAAGGACGTGGCATCAACATAAATGGCGAACGCATCTCTCACTTGCGATTTGCAGACGACATCGTCATCATGGCAGAAACCCTGCAGGACCTACAACAGATGCTGAATGACCTGGCTGACTCTTCTATACGCATCGGCCTACGGATGAACTTGGATAAAACCAAGGTCATGTTCAATGAACATGTTCTACCGGAACCGATTGCAATACACGGTGCCGTTCTCGAAGTTGTTCAAAAATATGTGTACCTCGGGCAGACATTGCAGTTAGGTAGAAACAACTTTGAGGACGAGGTGAATAGAAGAATTCAGCTAGGTTGGGCAGCGTTTGGGAAGTTACGTCAAGTCCTGACATCGTCGATCCCACAGTGTCTAAAGACGAAAGTCTTCAATCAGTGCG